CCAGGTTTGTGTGTTGCTGGCGGGATGCGAGGGGCTCGGCTCGGGGACTCCCCGGGGGTCAGGTCTGTGTGTAGCTGGCAGGGTGCGAGGGGTGAGGGGACTCCCTGGGGGCCAGGTTTGTGTGCAGCTGGTGGGAGGCGGGGGGCTCGGGGACTCCCCGGGGATCAGGTGTGTGCATAGTTGCGGGGTGACTCCCCCGGGGCCAGGTTTGTGTGTAGCTGGTGGGGTGTGAGGGGACTCCCCAGGGGCCAGGTTTGTGTGTAGTTGGCAGGGTGTGAGGGGATCCCCCCCCCTGGGGGCAGGTGTGTGCATAGCTAGCGGGGGGCTTGGGGACTCCCCAGGGGCCCAGTTTGTGTGTAGCTAGCGGGGGCTGAGGGGGACCCCGGGCGCAGGTTTGTGTGTCGCTGATGGGGGGACCCCCGGAGGGCAGTTTGTGTGTAGCTGGCAGGGTGTGAGGGGACCCCCGGGGGCAGGTGTGTGCGTAGCTAGTGGGGTGTGAGGGGACCCCTCGGGGCCTGGTGTGTGCGTAGGTAGCGGGGGGACCGTGGGGGACAGGTTTGGGTGTATCTGGCGGAGGGCGAAGGGGCCCTCGGGCGCAGGTTTGTGTGCAGCTGGTGGGGTGTGAGGGGACCCCCCGGGGACTGGTGTGTGCGTAGCTAGCGGAGGGCGAGGAGACCCCCGGGGGGCAGGTTTGTGTGTAGCTGGCGAGGGGACCCCCGGGGGGCAGGTTTGTGTGTAGCTGGCGGAGTCTTCGCACAAATGAGAGGAGACCAAGGGCGCCTGGCAGTGGAAGCAGCCAAGGTTGGAGGCCCCGTGCGGCCAGTGCTACGGCTCGCGGTGAGAGTGGCGCTAGCGGACTGTCGGTGAAGCAGACGCCCCGGCCAGGTGCCCCGGGAGCGAGCTCCGGCGGCAGCACATGCCGCTAACCTACGGCTGGAGAGAATATGCTGTTCGACCGCCGCCACTATCCCGAGCGCCTTTGCTGCCGTGTACACGTCCCAGTAGTCGTGACGCCGCTCTAGCCGCAGGCAGCGATTCTCTATGGTTATGCAGGGAGTCTGTGTGGGCTCGGAGGTGTCATGGCGTCCGTCGAGGTGGCAGCGCCTGAAGCTGCCGGGAGGAGCCGCTGAAGCCGCGCTCCGAGCCGGGGAGGGAGTAATGGCCGGGGCGCTGGGACTCTTTGACTAGGCGCCAGCAGGAGCCCGGTTGTTCCTGCGCGTGCGAGCCGGGCGGGGTGGCAGGAGCCGGCTCTCCGAGCCCAGGCTGCCCAGCCCCCGGGGGAGATAGCGAGCCGGGGCTGAGCTGTTCTGGGGTCCGGCGCCAACCCTGGTGCGGGTGCTGCCTCGGGGAGGCCTCTGGCCAGCGCTGAGGACAGTTGGGGTCCGTTGAGCAGCAGCGGAGATGGCCTCCTGGTTAGGGGGCCTGGGCTCGGGGCTGGGCCAGTCCCTGGGGCAGGTAGGGGGCAGCTTGTCCTCCCTTACCGGCCAGATCTCCAGCTTCACCAAAGACATCCTGCTGGAGGGCACCGAGGAAGTGGGAGGTAAGAGAGGGCCTGGGGGGGAGGGGAGGAGAGTTGCTGCGGCGGCCATGGGGGTGCCAACCCTCTGCGATGAGTGTGGGGCCGGGGGGCACTGAGTGCTGGGGAAAGATTTTCATCTCTATGGGCTGTGATGCTTTATATGTGTGTTTAGTACTATGTACTCATCTGATAGCATATTAATGATAATTAATAACTAAGAGATGTAGCAGTTGTTGTAAGTGGGTAACAGTTCATTTAGGACTGTGCCCAGCTAGACCACCTGAATTTAGAGATTAACATGACTGAGATTTTAAGTGTCTTACTGGAGTATACCAGTTTAACGAGAGAATTGCTACCTTCATTTTCCTTTTTTTAACAATAATAAAGAGAAATAAAATGTTTAGTGGTAGTGGAGTTTGTTGTTACACCTGTTGGAGTTGGTGCGGGGTAGCATTAACACTGCTGATCAAAACAACCAAAATTTGCCCTGGCAAATTACTTCTATGTGTTTTTTCTGGAAGGCCATATGCTTGCGCTCTCTCTCCCCCCCCCCTTTTTTTTTCTCTCTCAAGTTCTTATTCTGTGCACATCACACTATCAGGGCTCTGTGGAGAATAAACTTAGCAAAGCAAGCTATTATAGTATAAACTTATTTAGAGGTATATATATTGCAAAAGTTATTGGCATGTGTCCTGTTCCTGTTCTGATTTTGTTGTCCTGAAGTGTTGGAATTGCATTAGGGTACTTTGTTGACCAGGTTTGAAAGCATATCAAACTTGTTTTTGGCTTATTATGTTTATTCAGTTTATCTACAGCTTGGCTTGATCGGTTCCATTTCGAATGGGGGAAGTTTTCTAAAACTGCAAACAAATTGCTAGTTCAGTATTTTCCACATATGTATGTGATTGTAAGTCTGACGTGTCTCCCAGGCAAGGCTTTAATATAATTGAATTTTTTCTTATTTATATTACAGTAGTGCCCAAAAAATCCAATCAAGATCGGAGCCCATTGCATTAAGTACAACAAAATAGGAAAACACAGTCCTGTCTGAAAGCGCTTACAATCTAAAATGATAAAAAGAGGCAAAGGGGAACAAAAGGGATGTAATGTACAAGCAAAGTGATCAGTTCAGTGACAGTCATACACAGTGTTAATTCTGTGTCTGTTTTAGTATTGGTGTTTAATTTTTCCAAGGCATTTAAGCTTTTTAAATTATACGTTTGACTTTGCCTGTTATAGCTACACCTCTACCTCGATATAACGCTACCCGATATAACATGAATTCGGATATAACACGGTAAAGCAGTGCTCCGGGAGGGCGGGGCTGCGCACTCCGGTGGATCAAAGCAAGTTCAATATAACGCGGTTTCACCTATAACACGGTAAGATTTTTTGGCTCCTGAGGACAGCGTTATATCGAGGTAGAGGTGTATCTGCCTAACATGGTGAAAATATACATACATTAATATAGTTAACATAATATTACATCTGAAAATTATGGCTTTGTTAGAGAAATACTCTTTAATTGAAGCCTTTGTGATTTTAATGGTTGTGTTACTACCAATAGTAGGACCAGAATTTGGAATTAAATAACATAATTTCACAAGTTTGATCTTATGAAGTAGGTAATCAGCAAAGTAGGAATTCTCTGCAGGCAGGCAGTTCCAATATTAAGTGCTTCCAATATTAAGTGGGATGAAGATATTTTGGTTACAGGACTGCCAATATAAAAATGCTCCAAAAGAGAGAGGAGTTTGTTCTGATGGCTGCAATATACTCTGAGAAAAGATTGTCTATTTCCCTCTACTCTGAAAGATCTACTTACAGTTTTAGATTTAATAATTGTTTTAACATTCCCAAGCTTATATTATAGTACAAGCTTTGTTATCTGGCATGTTGGGGGAATGGGGGGTGTCAGTAAGTCATTCAAGTTAACCAAGAGGGAGAGAGTTTGGGCGTAGGAGGGGGCTCAGAGCTAGGGGTTGGGTATGGGAGGGGGTGCCGGATCCGGGCGGCGCTCACCTCAGGCAGCTCCCCTGCTGCTCCTAGGTGGAGGTGCAGCTAGATGGCTCTGCGTGCTGCTTCTGCCTGCAGGCACCGATCCCGCAGCTCCCATTGGCCGTGGTTCCTGGACAATGGGAGCTGCGGAGCCAGCATGTGGGGCAGCGCGCAGAGCCGCCTAGCTGTGCCTCTGCCTAGGAGCAGCAGGGACATGTTGTTTGCGGGGAGCTGGCCGAGGTTTGCGCCGTCCAGGTCCGGCACCCCACACTTCTTCCCGTGCCTCAACACCCTCCCCCGAGCCATCTCTCACACCCAAACTTCCTCCCCGAGCCCACGCCCTGCACCTCCTCCCACATTCCAACTCCCTCATGTCCGTTCCTCCACCTAGGAGCAGCAGGGACATGTTGTTTCCGGGAAGCCATGCGGAGCCAGGTAGGGAGCCTGCTGGCCCTGCGCCAACCGGACTATAAACTGGACTTTCAATGAGGATCAGAAATACCAGTTTATAGAGCTTTCCGGTTGGTAAAATGCCAGATAACAGCTATTACTGTAATTTGATTTGGAACCACATTTCACTTAAATGGATGCATCATCATGGACCATTCTTCTGTTACCTCGAAGTAGTATTAAGAGATATGCAGGATTCAAACTTCTTTGAATAAAGAGTTGACAGTTCTTTTACTATGTTTGTATGCTGTCAGTGTGTGTTGCTCCTGTTCTTTTAATATGGAGATATACCTATCTCATAGAACTGGAAGGGACCTTGAAAGGTCATTGAGTCCAGTCCCCTCCCTTCACAGCAGGACCAAGTACCATCCCTGACAGATTTTTGCCTCAGATCCCTAAATGGCCCCCTCAAGGATTGAATTTACAACCCTGGGTTTAGCAGGTCAATGCTCAAACCACTGAGCTATTCCTCGCACCCTTCTGCCCAATGATGCCTTTGGAAATATGATGTTTCAGCTCAGTGAGAATTCTTTCCATAAATATTTATGTAACCCTTCTGCCACGTAGAGCCGGCAGCAGCGAGGGCCAGGTTCAATATCTAGGGGTTCCTTTTCAACAATACAACACACAACTATCTCTAGCCCCCATCCAGTAACCTGGGAAAATTATACACCACCCCAGGGCACCTCTGAGAGGCAATACTTCCCCACTCGCAAGCACAGAGTCTGAGTGTAGAAAAGAAACTTTTAATGAAAAGAGGGAAGTCAACCGACAGTAATTAGGGAAAATGCCACAATCAGGATTCATAATCGTAAAATTGTGAGCAGGACACCTACCCCAGAGTGCGTGGGGCTGTGCCTTCTGCCTCATGTTCTTGAGTTCTACAACCAAAAGTTCCTTTTCTGTGCCCCTCGCTGCTCCCTCACCATACCCCACTCACCGTGGTTGTCCTTGGTAAGTGAGGACCCAGGGTTCAGAGGTGCATCTGTCTGAGTTCTCCCACCCAGGGAAAAAGGCACCTTGCTTTCTCCACCATCTAAGCACTTGCTCTGCCTAGCTGCCTGCCAGCTGCTCATTCCTCTCTGGTGGCCGCCTGCTTTTTCCGCTCCACTCACCAGCCACCATTCCACTTGCTGGTCACCTTCTACCGCCTGCCTCTCTTCTGTGACCTTGGCAGGTCAGTCTCTTGAGGTTTCACCCAGCTCTCGGTGATAGCTCTTAGGCCTTGGCTACACTTGCAGCTGTACAGAGCTGTGAGTTAAACCAGTCTTCGTACAGCTGAGTAGGGAAAGTGCTGCAGTCTGTCCACATTGACAACTGCCAGCGCACTGTCATGGCCACATTTGTGGCAATTGCAGCGCCATTGGGAGCGGTGCATTATGGGCAGCTATCCCACAGAGCACCTCTTCCCATTCTGGCGCCGTGGGTTGTGGGAAGGGGGCGTGGGTGCGGGGGATTCTGGGTCCTGTCCCAACGCCCCGTGATGCATCGCTTCACATCCCAGAAATCCCTTTGTTTCTGTCCACCTTTGGCGCCATCTTTCAACGGTTTCTGTGCAGCGCAATCTGTCTGCGGGAAATGGAGTCCGAACTGCTGAGGCGTATGCTGACGAGTCTCGCCAGCAGGTCACGTTTGGCTGTCGAACTATTCCTTAAGATCCCAAGTGAGAGTGAGGAGTCCGACGATGCTATCGAGCCGCGTAATGCATACGACACGAAATTGCTTGTGGCATTCACGGACATGCCCAGCACCGTGGAACGCCGCTTTTGGGCTCGGGAAACAAGCACTGAGTGGTGGGATCACATCGTCATGGAAGTCTGGGATGATGAGCAGTGGTTGAAGAACTTTCGGATGAGAAAAGCCACTTTCATGGGACTGTGTGAGGAGCTCGCCCCCACCCTGCGGCGCAAGCACACGAGATTGAGAGCTGCCCTGCCAGTGGAGAAGCAGGTGGCTATTGCAATCTGGAAGCTGGCAACTCCAGACAGCTACTGGTCGGTTGCAAACCAGTTTGGAGTGGGAAAGTCGACCGTTGGAATCATGTTGATGCAAGTTTGCAGGGCCATTAATCGCATCCTACTCAGAAGAACCGTGACTCTGGGTAACGTGCAGGACATTGTGGATGGCTTTGCACAAATGGGTTTCCCTAACTGTGGAGGGGCGATAGATGGGACGCACATTTCTATTCTGGCACCACCCCACCTAGCATCCGAGTACGTTAATCGGAAGGGGTATTTCTCTATGGTTCTCCAGGCACTTGTGGATCACCATGGGCATTTCATTGACATTAACACAGGCTGGCCAGGAAAGGTGCATGACGCATGCATCTTTCGGAACACTTGGCTGTTCAGGAAGCTGCAGGCCGGGAGTTTTTTCCCAGAGCGGAAGATCACAGTAGGGGAAGTTGAAATGCCCATTGTGATCCTTGGAGACCCCGCTTACTCGTTCATGCCGTGGCTCATAAAACCCTACACAGGGAGCCTTGACAGCAGCAAGGAACAGTTCAACTACAGGCTGAGCCGGTGCCGAATGACTGTGGAGTGTGCCTTTGGCTGTTTAAAGGGCCGCTGGCGATCTCTGTATGGGAAGCTGGACTTGGTCGAACACAGCATCCCTGCGGTTATATCCGCGTGCTGTACCCTCCATAATATTTGTGAAGGGAAGGGTGAAAGCTTCACTCAGGCATGGACCTCCGAGGTTGAACACCTGGAGGCTGAATTTGCATAGCCAGAGAGCATGGCTATTACAGGAGCCCAGCGCGGGGCTGCAAGGATTAGGGATGCCTTGAGGGAACAATTTGAGGCTGAAAACCAGCAGTGATATCTGGTGCCCTGCATGGGAGTGAAGTGCAGTAGTTCCAGTCTTTAGGAATCAGTGTTTGCTAAGCAGACTTGCAGTGCCTGTTTATTTCCTGGGCTAAGGAATCTTTTACTTTATGCATTAATAAAGAATGTTTTCAAAGCCAAAAAATTTATTTATTGAAAAGAAACACAACTGCTTGGGAATCAGCAAGGGCAAGCGGGTGGAGTAGGGAACGGTACAGTCACAGATTCGCGTATGTCCTGTCTGGTGTGCTGTGCAGTGAGTGCTGCACTTCAGGATAGCTATACTGCATGGTGATGGGGGTTGAGTGCAGAGGGTAAGGGTCGTGGTTTTCAGGGCTGGGTGGTGAAGATACTGGTGTTGGAGGCAGCTGGTGGCGTGAAGAACCCGGAAGTTGGGGAAAGTGGGTTGGAGGTAACAGTGGGGCACAAGGGAAAGAGTTTTGGGACAAGGGCTGGGGGGCGGGGGGAAGGGGCGTTTGCGGTACTGCTCCTTCCGCATGGCTACGAGCTCCTGGATAGCGTCTGCTTGGTGCTCCAGGATGCTTATGAGCCGATCCGTGCTTTGCCGCCGGTGCGCTGCTTTTTCCTGGCGGATCCTGCTTTCTCTCTCCCTCCAGTTCTGTGCTTTTTCATTCTCTGTAATAGATTGCCGCATCACTTCTTGCAGCATGGCTTCTTTGGTTTTTCGCGGTCTCTTCCTGAGTCTTTGCAGTCTCTGAGCAGGCGATAAGAGGGATGGCTGAGGTCTCAAGGTTGTTGCAGCTGTATAGGCAAAATGCAACATTTAACAGAGGCAGCATTGTTTATAGCAGATAGAGTAATGATTTCCCCCGCACTTAAGGAGGGCACACACAGGGTCTACACAATAGCATAATTTTCCCATCCCAAACAGAGCATACATAACCCACGGGAGCCTCAAAATGGTGAGTAAGGGGGACTGATTGTTTCAGGGCTGTACTGTCCTCTGGGTTTCAGTGACTTGGGGAGAGCCAACAGCTGCAGGGGGCACCTACACTGAACACTGTCCCAACATTTTCCACAGGAGTTCGTCCTGGACGATATCTCGCTGCTGAGGGTGACCTGGGAAGCAAGGGAGGGTCTTCTACTGCAATTCGGCTTCCGCCCTGGCCTATATGCAGCTTGCCTGTGTGCAGCAATTGTCCCCCCGCCCCTTGCGGCACAGTGGCGCGGACACGTTAGCCTGGCTGGGACAAGGACCACGGTGGCTCTCCCAATAAACCTGCGCAAGCGCATTGCACATGTTCTGGATGAGACATTCGAAGAGATTACCGAGGCCGATTACCGCGATGTGATAAACCACATCAATGCACTATTCCGCATCTATGCATGCATGCCTAACCCTCCTCTCCCAAAGAGCCCGCACTGAAAAAATTCCTTCCCGAAAAAAAAAAACGCTTACCGGGAACCTGCTCTTCTGTTTGTCCTCCACCAAGTATCAGCCGCTGCGACTGGCTACCTTCCTCCTGGCTCGAGAAGAGCTCCTGGCTGCATGCCTCCAGGGATTCCGGGGTGTCTCCATCCACCCCACCACCCTCACTCCCGTTCTCCTCCTCCTCCTCCCACCCCAGCTCTGAAGTGTCCATGGTGGTTCTCGGAGTGGAGGTGGGGTTAACCCCAAGTATCACATCCAGCTCTTTGTAGAATCGGCAGGTCGCGGGGGGAGCACCCGAACGGCTGTTTGCTTCGCGGGCTTCGCGGTAGGCACTCCCCAGCTCCTTCACTTTAATCCTGCACTGCAGGGCGTCCCGGTCATGGCCCCTTTCCATCATGTCCTTTGATACCTTCCCGAAGGTATCGTAATTCCTCTGGCTGGAGCGCAGCTGGGACTGGACAACTTCCTCCCCCCAAGCACTGATGAGGTCCAGCAACTCGCCATTGCTCCATGCTGGGGCTCGCTTGGCGCGTGGAGGCATGGTCACCTGGAAAGATTCGCTGATAGCACTCCACGCCACGCCTGGCTGAGCAAACAGGAAGGGGATTTTTAAAATCCCCGAGGAATTTTAAGGGAGGGTCACATGGTTTGTTACCTGAGGCCAGGGCAGTAGAGTTTGAACTGATGACCAGAGTGGCTAGAACAGGCATTGTGGGATACTGCCGAATACTTCTGGAGGCCAGTCACAACGCATTGGGCGGCCACACTGGCGCCGCAGCGCTGCAGCGGCGGCGCAATACACGCTATTCCTCTCGGGGAGGTGGAGTACATGCAGCGCTACAGCCACGGAGATACAGTGCTGCAAATGCCTTGCCAGTGTGGACGGGGAGTGAGTTACAGCGCTGGGGGCGGCTTTACGGCGCTGTAACTCGCAAGTGTAACCAAGGCCTTAGACTGGGCAGAAATGCTGTTCCACCACAAGTGATTGTAAGCTCTTTTGAGCACTTAAAATAACAAAAGGTTCCTAATGTACCTTCATCTATAGTACTGTGCTTTTTCTAATTTTGGTTGTCTCCCTTCAGGAAAGGTATAGCAAATTTAAAAAAGCTCAAAGAAGTGGGACAAAAATTTAGAGGAACCTTGAGATTTATATGTTTTGTGTTGCAAAAATATGATAAGAGGAATTTCATTGAGGTGTTTAAAATTATAAAGGGTACAGTAAAATAGAACATTTAAATATTTTCAGATTAGAATAGTAGTTTTAGATGCAACAGGAATAAATTTACAGTTTGTTACAGTTTGCCATTGGTTCCAAGAAGTTTCTTTAAAAAAAGCCTAGATAACAGAAAATATTCCAAAATCCTGAATTGAAGTGGTTTTTTGCACTGTAGTCCATAAAATGTTTTTAAAAGATAGAAAGGAAAATAACTAATACATTTATGGAGTAATAATATGTAACTAAGCCAAATAAAGACTTTAAAATATCCTCTTTACCTGAGAATGCTATTTTGTGTCTCTTCCTGGGGAATTGTCACAGCCAATTCAGATGAGCACAATGTGAGTGATTATTTTTTTTTTTAAATCTTTCAGATGCACCAACAGAACTCCAAGTATCCAGTTCTAGGCTAAGAGAAATAGAAAGTACTCATGCATCACAGAGATTGGAGGTAAGCAATTCTGGAATGCAGGTAATTAGGAGAAATAAAGGGATGCTGATCAGGGCGATTTTGATTGTTTCTACACATATTAGAAATATGATTTAAAAAAAAAAAGCTCACTCTAGAAATGAGGGTGACAATGATGTTTAAATCCCAATTTTTCAGCCTGGTGACCATCCATCATCACATTCAGAGGGCCAGATTTGTTTAGTGGGCATGGACATGTGTGTTGTAGATTTATCACCTCTTACATTGATTGCCTTCTCCACTTTGATATTGTTCATGTCAGACAGTGGGACCTTGAAATGTAACAATAGCTCCTGGCTCTGATATGGTCTCAAGTCTAGGTTTCTTTTAAGTTTCAGCATTTTTCTGGCTGATAAGGAGATGCTTTATGAATAGCTGGGTTTGCATTTCAGACTTGGCCGCGAATCATAGAATATCAGGGTTGGAAGGGACCTCAGGAGGTCATCTAGTCCAACCCCCTGTTCAAAGCAGGACCAATTCCCAACTAAATCATCCCAGCCAGGGCTCTGTCAAGCCTGACCTTAAAAACCTCTAAGGAAAGTGATTCCACCACCTCCCTAGGTAACCCATTCCAGTGCTTCACCCACCCTCCTAGTGAAAAAGTTTTTCCTAATATCTAACCTAAACCTCCCCCACTGCAACTTGAGACCATTACTCCTTGTTCTGTTATCTGGTACCACTGAGAACAGTCTAGATCCATCCTCAGAACTAATCTAGAAGGTGTAATTTCCAGCCTATAACCCTCAATCCAGATTTTTATATGCGGTATTTTAAATTTCAAAGAGGTGTTTAAGTTTGAAAGAGTAAAGTAGGACAACATGGGAAGTCTGCAACATAGCTATTTTAATTTTTTCTCCCATTAGCAAATTCCTTAGGAACATAAGCTTTAGTTTTTTACATTTATTAATAGTCACTTTGCACTTTTCTAGAATGAGAGACTGAAGAAGGTTTGCAGTGATCTAGAAGAAAAGCATGAAGCAGCAGAGCTTCAGATAAAGCAGTTGTCCATAGAGTACCGAAATCAGCTGCAGCAAAGAGAGGTACAGTGCAGCATAAATAATTTCAGGAAATATATGTCTGTATTCGTTAACAAAAATGTACTACATTAAGTTTGTTTGTATACTTATTGAAGAGATAAAGATATCTATTATACAATCTCTAAAGGTCAGAGGCAAGCAGACCGTTCATCATGGTACAAAGTACCCTATTGCTCATCCTTTCATTTATGCTGTTGCTCATTTATAAATGTACAGATTGTCTCGATCACTCACAAAATGCTTCCAAATCATGTGACATTAGTTGACACTTACACCTGCCAGATGACTTAATATAATGTAGCTATTGATCTAAATAGCCTCAGAAATATCTTGTCTGATGTCACAGTTTCTCCCTATTTTATTACCATTAAGGAACAACAGAGTAGATTAACCACCACATATTATTATAAATTATTTTATAGTCCTAAATCACGCTTTTTGGAAGGATAGGTAAGAAAGAGAAAATTCTCTTTAAAAGTGTTTATTTCTATTGTTCTTTCAGATGTTCATTTGGTTTAAGTGTAGACTTAAAAATGGGACAGGATCAGCATTCGCAGCTCTGGAAAGTGGATTTTTGGGCATAAAGTAATCCTCTATGCATGCAACTGTATAATGTGAGATTTTAGAGTCTTCTAAACAAGGAAAACTATCAACGCATTTATAAAAATTGCTTTTACTGAATGGGTTTTTAGCAGAAAGAATATCTTTGAGACGTGTGTTGCACCCATTGAAGTCAATATCAGATCTCCCATTGACTTCAGTGAGAGCAGGATCAGACCCTTGATTTGTACATGCATAGGAAAGGACATATTGAAGTTGGAAAAGCAACATCTGGATATTTGTAGTATTTTGTCCATTCTGTATCTTAGTGTAAACAATTTTCTTTCGCTCTAAGAGTGACTTCTTTAATATAGTGTGATGTGAATGCAAAACCAGCAATACATTGAAAAGTTGGAGTATAAAATAAGCTCAATTTTAATATCAAAATAAATAACCTGAGGAACCCTGTACTGGTTGCTTTTATTTTAATATTTAATTAAAAAATCTACCACTTTTATATTTAACTGTGTTGTGGGACTTGGCACTCAGAAGCCTTGCTGTAGAATTTAGGTACATTTGCCTGCTAAATACCCCCAAAACCTTTATTTACAAGGGAAGCATTCTTTTTAAGGGGCAGTGCGGATACTTTGCTTATATGGTGCCTTTAGCTGACTAGTGTTTAAATGGTAAAGGAATAATTTTTAGAAGCAGTTTTTACAAGAGTCCTTGCTTTATAAGAGGCCAGTCAAGAACATTCCTCTCCATTGAGTTGGAGAGAAAACACTTTTTTTTTTTCCTAGTGAAAGAACAAGGAGACCTCAGTAATTTTATGTCAGATGAGAATACAAATATCAGGTTTAAATTTCATCTATTTACAAGAGATAAAGTGAATATACTTTGAGATTTTCTTCTTACTAAAATCATGCACTGTATTCTATATATTTAGGTTGAAATCAGCCATCTAAAAGCTAGACAGAATGCACTACAGGAACAATTGCAGAAGTTGCAGACAGCTGCTCAGTCAGCACAGTTAGGAGCTGGTGTTTTGCCACCAACCACTACATCAGCTTCCTTTGTTCCAGTGGTTAGACATCATTCTTCAGGTTTTCAAGGGGATGACATGGACTTTGGAGATGTAATCTGGTCCCAGCAAGAAATAAACAGATTGTCCAATGAAGTTTCTAGACTTGAATCTGAGGTTGACCACTGGATGCTGATAGCACAGGTGGGTGATTTTTCCCTATATTTAGTACATTGAGTGAATTGGTCACTCTTGAAGCCAGTCATGTTCAAGTTCATGTTCAGCAATTATATGTAGAGAAGTAGCATTTAGGTTGACATAGCTGCTGTGCTCAAGGGTGTTACAAATCCACATCCCTGAATACCACATAGCTATGCTGACCTAATCCCCAATGTAGACACGACTAGGATGATGGAAGAGTGCTTCCAGCGACCTAACTACTGTTGCTCAGGGAGGTGGTGTTCCTACAGCAATGGAAAAACCCCTTCTGTTGGTGCAGGCTATGTCTACACTGCAGGGTTATGCTGGCATAGCTGTGGTGCCGTAGTTGCGCTGCATTAATCACCACAGGCACTAATACATTCTAATTCTGGTTTTGCTGGTTGGTGACCCTTGGTACCTTTCAGTCACTGTTGTCCATTTGTAAAAAATTGGTAATACATAAAGACCTGCCTTGCAGAAGTGATGTAAAGATTAACTAACCTGTAGATGGTGATCTGAAAAATATATACCACTATATAAATTCTAAATATTATTTTTACTTTCTGAGAAAAGGAGCCATAGTAAGACTTAGTTACGGAGACTGAATTTCTTTACTCTTCGCGTTATATTAATAATACAGCCTCTCCCACCCCCTTAAAATCTGTAAAAATGTTTTATAAGTAGGGCTGTCAAGCCATTAAAAAAATTAATTACGATTAATCATGCCATTAAAAAAATTAATTGCACAATTAAACAATAATAGAATACTGTACCATTTATTTAAATATTATTGGATGTTTTCTACATTTTCAAATATATTGATTTCAATTATAACACAGAATACAAAGTGTACAGTGTTCACTTTATATTTATTTTTCTTGCAAATATTTGCACTGTAAAAAAGAAATAGTATTTTTCAGTTCACCTAATACAATACTATAGTGCAATCTCTTTATCATGAAAGTTGAACTTACAAATGTAGAATTATGTACAAAAAATAACTGCATTCAAAAGTAAAACAATGTAAAACTTTAGAGCCTACAAGTCCACTTGGTCCCACTTCAGCCAATCGCTCAGACAAACAAGTTTGTTTACATTTTCAGGAGATAATGCTGCCCGCTTCTTGTTCACAATACCACCTGAAACAGAGAACAGGTGTTTGTTCTGACGGCACTGTTGTAGCTGGCCTCGCAAGATATTTACATGCCAGACATGCTAAAGATTCATATGTCCCTTCATGCTTTAACCAACATTCCAGAGGACATGCGTCCATGCTGATGAAGGGTTCTGTTCGATAACCATCCAAAGCAGTGCGGGCCGATGCATGTTCATTTTCATTATCTGAGTCAGATGCCACCAGCAGAAGGTTGATTTTCTTTTTTGGTGGTTTGGGTTCTGTAGTTTCTGCATCGTAATGTTGCTCTTTTAAGACTTCTGAAAGCATGCTCCACACCTCATCCCTCTCAGATTTTGGAAGAGATTCTTAAATTTTGGGTTGAGTGCTGTAGCTATCTTTAGAAATCTCACATTGGTACCTTCTTTGCGTTTAGTCAAATCTGCAGCAAAAGTGTTCTTAAAATGAACATGTGCTGGGTCATCATCCGAGACTACTATAACATGAAATATATGGCACAATGTGGGTAAAATAGAACCGGAGACATAAAATTCTCCCCCAAGGAGTTCAGTCACAAATTTAATTAACGCATTCTTTTTTTAACAAGCCTCATCAGCATGGAAGCATATCTTCTGGAATGGCAGCCGAATCATGAAAGGGCCTACAGATGTTTAGCAGATCTGGCACGTAAATACCTTGCAATGCCGGCTACAAAAGTCCCATGTGAATGCCTGGTCTCACTTTATGGTGACATTGTAAATAAGAAGTGGGCAGCATTATCTCCTGTAAATGTAAACAAACTTGTTTGTGTTAGCGATTGGCTGAATGAGAAGTAAGATGGAGTGGACTTGTAGGCTCTAAAGTGTTGCATTGTTTTGTTTTTGAGTGCAGTTATGTAACCAAAAAAAATCTACATATGCAGTTTCATGATAAAGAGATTGCACTACTACAGTATTTGTAAGAGGTGAATTGAAAAATACTATTTCTTTTGTTTATCATTTTTACAGTGAAAATATTTTTAATCAAAAATAATTCTATAAAGTGAGCAGTGTACACTTTGTATTCTGTGTTGTAATTGATATCAATATATTTGAAAATGTAGAAAAACATCCAAATATTTTAAATAAATTTCAATTGGTATTCTATTGTTTAACAATGTGATTAATCACAATTAATTTTTTTGAGTTAATCGCGTGAGTTAACTGCAATTAATCAAGAGTCCTATTTAGGCAAAGAGTTTCTTAAGCATTTACAAGGGTTCAACCCAAAATATTATAACTTCTTTGGGGATTTTCATATATAGGCTTCTAAAAAGTACTTTTTCTCTTGTTGTTTGTGCTATTGATTGTAAATTACTACTCTGCCAATGCACAAAGTGATACTGTAGTTGCAAATTTTTATTATAAATTTTACCATCTGTAATTTTCCCTTACCACTTATCTTCATTTTCTGTCAGTTATAAAAATTCTCATTACTGTGATCAAGTAGAGCCCAATCCTGCAAACTCTTACTCATGTGACTGATCTTCACTCAAGCAACTAGTGCGTTTGATTTCAGTGATATTACTCGTGTCCATAGCATCTACAGTTATGTATACTGGAATTAAAATACAGTGAATATGTAGGTTTTCTTTAAATGCAAGAAACTGTTAAATATGCTAGCATGTCATAAATGCAATCAATATACTGTGAAATTTGTGCACAAAGAAATCCAATAGCTGTTCTTATGTTTCAATAGAGAAATGCTATTTTATATTTTTTTCTTTACCTACCTCCTTTAAAAGGTTCTTAAGAGGTTCTTTAAAAACCTCCTTCCTTGGAGGTTTTTAAGGCCCGGCTTGACAAAGCCCTGGCTGGGATGATTTAGTTGGGAATTGGTCCTGCTTTGAGCAGGGGGTTGGACTAGATGACCTCCTGAGGTCCCTTCCAAACCTGATATTCTATGATTCTACGATTCTACCTTTTACCTATGTTTGAATGTTGTGATAGAGGCTTACTTACTTTTAGTAAGTACTTTTAGTGTCCTTGCATTTTCTATTTTATTAAGAATTATTTGCTGTTGAAGTGCTCAAAGGAAAATAAACCATTGTTTATCTCAATTTATTTCCCAAACTAAAGTATTATTTTTCTTTTTTTATCTAGTCTTCCAGAGTACAAGGAACAAATAATGCTGATCAAAGTGAAATCTGCAAGCTGCAAAATATTATCAAAGTAAGGTGACAGTTTTCACAAATCAACCCACACACATACATTTTTTATAATTTGCAGCTAAGCCCCCAGTCCTGCAAACATTTACATGTGTAGTCCCAATGCCTGCAGTCGCGTTTCATATGAATCAAGTTAAGTGTATGCATAAGTATTTGCACTATCAGGGCCTAAGTCCTTTGTACTAAACAAAGTATATTGGCATATAATATACACATTTACCCCCATATAATGCGGTCCTCGGGAGCCAAAAATCCCTACCGCGTTATTGGTGAAACCCCATTATATCGGGGTAGCGGTGGCAGGGCTCCAGCGGTGATTTAAAGAGCCCGGGGCTCTGGCTGCTGCGGGGAGCCCCGGACCCTTTAAATCGCCACCCAGGCCCCGCTGCCGGAGCCCTGGGGTAGCGGCGGCAGGGCTCCGACGGTGATTTAAAGGGCCTGGGGCTCCCCACAGCAGCCAGAGCTCCGAGCCCTTTAAATCGCCTGCCAAGCCCCGCTGCCGCAGCTCTGGGGTAGCGGTGACAGGGCTCCAGCAGTGATTTAAAGGGTCCTGGGCTACGGCCGCTGTGGGGAGCCCGGGTCCTTTAAATCGCCGGCTGAGCCCCGCTGCCGGAGCCCTGGGGTTACCACGCTATATGCAAACCCGTGTTATAGCGGGTCGTGTTATATCGGGGTAGAGGTGTAATTGTGTTTATAACCGAAATGTTGCCACACCGCGCCTATATTTAAAAAAAAATTCTGATTGATTAGATGAACGAGTGTCTCTCAGGTTGGTCATACAACTGGCTTGTTACAATATTATAGGCTTGAAAATATAAAGTTTGTAAGATTAAGGCCAACACTTCAAAAGTAGCCAGTGATTTGTAGTGCCTCAATTTTTGGATGCCCATCATGGGATACCTTGAGATTGCTTTCCCTCCCCAACCCCTTTCCCCAGTCTCTCTAACTCCAAGTGAAGTCAGTGGGAACTATAGGTGTTAAGCACTTCTGAATTTCAGACCCTTGATGGCTAACTTAGACACCATAAAAATTTTGGTCTTAATTTGTAAGGTACATATTTTGTACAGGGGCATACCTGGATGTAATTTTGTTCTGAGTCCTGTTTTTTAAGTTAACTTATTAATGTACTATATAGGTGTAAAGGTATATACTGGTAATGTTACATGGTATACATATATAAATACATATGTAAATGGTGAAATAAGACAAATAATTTTTTATACTTACAATGAAGCTGGAAAATCAAATCAATTTTATTTTCAATACATGGTAAGGTGAGAGTAAGTGTATTATCTAGTATAACTTATATTTTTCTAGTTTGTTTTTCTCCCATATTTGTGTGTTTTAACGTAAGTCATAATGAATGATGGAGAGGAGACTTCCTGGTAATTAATACTTACCTGGAGAAGTTCAGGGAATGACAGGAAAGCTCCTCCTGATCACGCATTGCTGCTATTAAATGTTAGTTACTACATCCTTATTATTTATCCTATGTAAGTAAATAGTGCTCACCTTTTTTCTGTATTGAAAAGTGAAAAATTTAATTGCACCTTGCCGGGGATGCAGAATTCTAGTTATACTACTAGAAACAGCTATTTTTTCTAGAGTTCCAATAAGCTTATAATATTGAATTTATAAATATGATTAGAAGGAAGGTATATTGTTGCAGTTGTCTCTTCCCCACAGTCTTGGATACTTAAGGCAACTTTCAAATTAGGAAAAGCTCTAAATCAGTAACTCTCAACCTTTCCAGACTACTGTACCTATCCCTTTCAGGAGTCTGATTTATCTTGCGTATCCCAAGTTTCACCAGACTTGCTTACAAAATCAGACATAAAAATACAAAAGTGCAACAGCACAATATTACTGAAAAATTGCTTACTTTCTCAATTTTACCATATTATAAAATAAATTAATTTGAATATAAATACTGCACTTACATTTCAGTGTACAGTATATAGAGTAGTATGAACAAGTCATTGTATGAAATTTTAGTTTCTGCTGACTTTGCTAGTGCTTTTTATGTAGCCTTGTAAAACTAGGCAAATATCTAGATGAATTGATGTACCCCCTGGCAGACCACTGCGTATCCCAGGAGTACGCATACCCATGGTTGAGAACCAGTGCTCTAAATAAGTATAACAGAAGTCTGAGTGAGCTCTGCAGCCCTTTTTACGTACTTTTCATTGTGGACCAGTCTTTTCCACAAATGATGTGACACTTTGCTCTCTGGCTGGTTCAGAAAGTTAGTCTTTCTTTTGCCTTCTATGATGTACTGTAATGTTGCATTTGTCTACTAAGGTGTAAATAATCCACACACTGTAACTCTTCCCAAAACAAGTGCCAGCCTCTAGTCCTATGACCTGCTCCTGCTCCAAAAGAAGTCTGTTGCAGCGCTCTCATTGACTTCTTTGGGAGCAAGTTTAAGCCCTCTGTGAGAATCTCAAGGTTGTGGAATCTCTTCCAAAATGAGTCCAGGTTACAGAATTGAGCCCGCTTTCTGTCAAAGTAGAAGCAATCCAATATCTTAATTTTTTTAGCCATTTGTGGCAAAAGTTATTTTTTTCACCAGTACAAATGAATTGACCATGATTCTTCTTTCAAGAATAGTCCCAGCTACTCTCCCTAGTGAGGCTGAATTTTCTTGTTGCTTAAAGAGGAGTAAGTTGAGGCTAAGGTTGTGGGCTACATTCTGGCTGTTAGTAAATTCCTGTGTTTGCATAAGGTAAGGGCTTGTCTACGTGGAAAGTTAGTACCCAGCAACCCAGGATGTGAATCTACAGGGCATCAGCTTGCCACACACTAACTCACTATGTGGACACTGCTACCACACAGTAAAAGTCCTGGAGTGTAGAATAGTACTTTGGCACTTTCACTGCACTGTAGTAATGTCCACGGGGCGAGTTAATGCATGGCAAGCTTGTGCCCTGTAGATTCACATTCTGGCTTTCCAGGCACTAACTTGGCATGTGCACAAGCCCTAAGTTACTTTTTTGGTGAAAGAACACTGCCAACTATCCCTATAGTTGATAAATGTTTTTGTTTTCAATTTTGCATTACAGTCAAGCTCCAAGATGACATTTTTTTCCTTTCAGTATTTGTAAAGTTCTTAGAAGATGTGACATGCTTTATAAGTGCTAAGTACTTTTGTTATTTAAGCGATAATGTTCAGAGTGGGCACTTCCAGGGACTTGAGGATCTGAAGAAAAGCTAAGGGGATTTAACATAGCTGGTTATTAACTGCTGCTATGGATTGCTTTACCTGGGAGTGTAGGGGGGTTGTGGTGTATGTGTCACTATTGCTATACTTTTCTCTGTGCTGAAAAGATCAGAGTAGAAATGCACATCCATGGGACACAGTGTCGTGTTATACAAAAGTGGTCAGACAACATGTACAGTTACAAATAGGAAAATAGCATTTTGTGCTCATGATTCCATTAAAAACGCGCACACACAGATTTTTGTTGTCATTACTTTCTTGTTCAAGAAACTTGTTCACCTGTTTACTTGGCAGCCCTGACGTATCAATGGTTGGAGTTTCCTAATTAACATGAGTTCTCCATCCAAACAAAAATATTATCTGAATTTTCATTCATAGAGGTCAGGGATTTTTTGTCTGTCATTGCAACAAGGTGGTAGATCTGAAAATACAAGTTATTTGACATTTGAGACAATATTAACCTGATTATAATTTAACTGTGTGAGTGGGAGTGTGTGTATGTGAGAGGTGAGGTGGTGGTGAAGGAGAAAAAATCCAGTCATCTACCATCTGGATGTCCTAATGCCGGGATCGGCAGCCTTTGGCACGCGGCCCGTCAGGGGAAATCCGCTGGCGGGCCGGGACGGTTTGTTTACCTGCAGCATCCACAGGTTTGGCCGATCGCAGCTCCCACTGGCCACAGTTCGCCGTTCCAGGCCAATGGGGGCTGTGGAAAGCGGTGGCCAGCACATCCCTCGGCCCACGCTGCTTCCCGCAGCCCCCATTGGCCTGGAATGGTGAACCGTGGCCAGTGGGAGCTGCGATCGGCTGAACCTGCGGATGCTGCAGGTAAACAAACCGTGTCGGCCTGCCAGTGGATTTCCTTGATGGGCCGCATGCCAAAGGTTGCCGATCCCTGTCCTAGTGTATACAATCTCCTATGTGTCTGAGATTACAAGTTCTTTGAGGTGGGGCTCTTTTTATTTTTGTAGTTTGTACCATGCCAACCACATTGATTGATTGAATAAATAAATAATTTTTAAACAGGCATGTTTTATTTTTGGTGTAAAATATTTGGCAGTATCTTTGCAGGTGCAGAAAAAGATTCTTTTAAAATGTATACATACTGTGTGTCTGCATTCTAAATATTTTTTTTTCAATTACACTTTTTAGGAGCTGAAACAGAATTTAAGTCAAGATATAGATGAACATCAGCATGAGCTTTCAGTATTACAGGATGCACATCGACAGAAACTAGCAGAGATAAGTCGTCGGCACCGGGAGGAATTAAGTGAATATGAGGAGCGAATTGAAGAACTTGAAAATCAGTTACAGCAAGGTATTTATTACATTCTATTTTATTGGCTGTTACCCTCAGCTTTTATACGGAATGAACTTTATTCAGAAATCAAATGCACATACAAATGAGCAGTATAATCTACGTCCAATACATTCATATGGATTTAGCAAATCTTTAGTTTGGTTATAATTGACTTGAGCACATTTAATTGCATTGTTAATGGCTGCTCTTCAGAAGAAAACGCACATGTGACTTTCAGCTGTCCACCAACAGATTCTGGTCTAGATACTGAGTGAGAAACTCTTCAAGTCTGTTAAATTAATTTTTCAGAGCTATGGGGTTACTACGTGTGGAAGGCTTCTCTCCTGCTATTACCAATCTACTAGAGTTGAAAACTATCTGAGAAACAGATATATCTCTTCACTTGTACTCACTGCGGGATATTTTTTTAAACTCCTGGACATTAATTTGTCCCCTAATAATCTACTTACATCCATATCCTCAGGCAGGTGGTATGCACTAAATCCATAAAGCCAACACATGTTTGATTCCAATCCAATATTGATTTGGAAAGAGACTGCAGAATAGAGTGAAAACTTTTCAACACAAAAAATAATTCTGGAGGCAAGTAGTAGATACTAAATGGGTCACTCACTGAATGACATGAAGTCAGAGTTGATGGTGATGAGGGCTGTATAAGTTCCTGGTTGGATGGGTTGGTAGATAAAACACTTTCTAGCAACAAGTGCCTTTATCTGTTTTTCTTGTACTGGGATATCTTTGGATGCATAGAAGTGAAAGTTTGTATGTCTTATTAATTGGGTCTCTTTTTGAAGGGGGCCTCATTTACAAGTTCATATCTAAACTTAGTAAGTTTCGTTTGTAATTGATTCATCAAAACTATGCCACCCAAAGAGTGTGTGTTACCCTTTGGGAAAGAGACGTACTTCCAATGACAACTGTCCCTTCCCAGAATGAAAGAGAAACTCCATAACCGACAGTGTCTCCTCAGATATAGAGTTAAGCAGAAGCACCATGTAAGAACCTTTTGAGGTCTCAACCAGAGGTGGTAGGGAACTGACTCATGGTATCTTAATGCCTGTTAAAATTGTTCTCTGTCTTCTGACTTCTTTCAAAACAATCCTTTTAAAGAGTCTTGGGTGAAATCAAAGGCATGAGCCACGCATCTCTTGCCTAATGACTCAGCTGTAAGACAAAATACTTCTCACACTTCTTAGTATGATATTACTCACCTATTACCATATCCTTGCTAAATTGCGTTTTCACCCATCTGGTATCGTCTGGATGCAGATCCTAGAAATTCTTGTTTTCAGAATCTACGTAGTCATGAATGGACAAGCAACATGTCTTCTTTTAGCAGCTTCTATCTAAATTTTGGCTTTCTGCCTTCTTGAACTCTGTAACTTGTATAAATGATTTGCATTATAAGTTACGCTGGCTATACAGAGGCTCCTAAAGTTTTAGGGACATTATATCTGGTACCTATAAAAACCCAACTTCTCTTGAACGTGACCTTTAGGTTGAAAGTCTGAGAGTTTTATTGCAGAATAATGTGTCTTTGCTTCTATGCTTGGCAATTTACATTTTTAATTTAAACCTTTAGAGGAAAAGTCAATACTGTTTACTGTATATTGAATTATAAATTTAAGGATTTATGTATAAAATGACAAAACCAAATGTAATGAGAATTTAAATGTTGTGTTTGTCTATAGAACATATGATTGTCATCAAAACATTCTTTAATTCTTGCAGGAACTTAAAATAAATCTAATATGTTTGTACTGATTACCAGTTTTCAGCCACAATCCTGAGAATTTAAAATTGACTAAAATGAATACATGTGAAATATACAAATTATTATAACCCGTGACAACCAGTCATTAACTCTGTTACATTAAAACAACAAACCACAAAACCTAGTGTCCTTTGATCTGGAATGAACCTGGTAGCTAACAGTATTCTGGTCAAATAGTTTTAGGAACGTATGAAGGACTGACTAGACAACTTTATTTTTTGATACTCGTTATGACTTTTGATTATTTTTCCCTTTAAGTCAGTTTTTTAACTATTGGTGATTAGAACCATATCTGCCTCACTTCACTTGTTTCAAAATTGCCATTTTATAGTTATCAATGTAAGCAGCTGTGAGGTATATCTCTTCTAAAGCAAACCACGTATCTTTATATACTTCAAACATTTGTTCTTCTAAATGTCTCTCTTTCTGTAGATGAAGTGAGTGCCTCCATTTCACGAAAGTTATTGTTTAACATTGCCAACCTTTCAAGAATAAAAATTCTTAGTTGGTAGCTGTTCCAGGAGAAAATTCTATAATGCTGACTTTGGTTACTAGTCTAAACTCAATCTCTTGTGCTTTTTCAGGTGGTGCAGGCATTGAAATCACTGATCATTCTAAAATTAGCGACCTGCAAAAGAACATTCAAATCCTACAAACTGAAAAACTAGAGGACACACAGAATATGAAGGAACTGGAGGATAAAGTAAAAAATTTAAATGAGAAATTATCTTCTGTAGAAAATGAGAACAAAATCCTGCTGAACGAGAGAGAACTGGTAAAGGTGGAAAACAGCCAAATAACACAAGAATATGAAAGACTGAAATCTGAGTTTATTAAGCTTCAAAATTATGTTGCAGAACAGGAGACCCTTCTGAAAGAACAGGGGAAAAAACTCCCACTGATGACATCGTCAGAGGAAGAAGTGCTCAGACTACAACAAGCACTGTTGGGTAGGAAGCAATTGAGATTTTCAGATCCTATCCAAAATATTTTACACGTTTAAAAATAGAGAGAAGTCATTTTAGGAAAAGAAGTATGAATAAATGAGATTGTGACAACTATGAATAGAGCCACTTTAGAAAAGGGTTTACCCCTGAAATGATCAAGTAAAACAAGATCTGAAAGGACTACCTTGGCACTACTCTGATAGTGAGGTAGAAGTCTCTGGATAGCTTAGTGAAGATGCCTGGTTAGAGCCTAGCAGGAATTTTTGTTCTCGGTTTTGCCGTAATATTTAAAAAAAAAAAAAAAGCCAGTTTTATGATGATGGTTTCTAATATTGTTTGCATCAGCCTGTAAAGATACAGCTAAGATCAAAACATGTAGAGAGAGGCTGACAAATGTTAGAGATATGGCCGGTCTTAAAATGTTATTGAAAATACTAAGATTATTTACACTGGAAAGAAGAGAAGCTAAAGATGACAATTGAACAATTTAAAATTATGGCATGGCACATGAAAAATGACCTTTCCTGTTGGCTTGGGTTGCCTTCCCTTATCAACCTGGGCTTGTTTTCTTTTACTTCCGTCCTTCGGATCCATTTGCTGTCTTGCTCTGACACTTCTTGTTTTACTTCTCTTGCCCCCAGCAAACCCTGGGCTAAGTATGGTATACTGTAGATATCTGAACACAGAGGCCCTCTGAATATGAATCTCCCTATCTGCAGCAGTATTTGCTTTTTCCCACAGACCCCATAGAGAGTTCTCTGCAGGTCCAGAGATCTTCTCTCAAAGTGTGAGGGGGAGGGCTGCAGCTCCGCAAAGTAGATCTGCTCAAGGGTTAATACTGTCTGAGCTCTATCCATTTTATAGAAGCTACCATTCAGGGGCTTCCAGGGCATTCAGTCTGGGAAGTCCTGGCAACATGATGGTCCAGCCAGGGAGCCTCTGCAGTAGTTTCCCAGAGAACAGCAAAGCACAGGGCCAGAAGTCCTTATTCTTTCACAGGGGACAAACCCTATTCCTGACAGCAGAATCCAGAAGAGACTGAGGAGAACCTTGTAGTGTTTCTTGCCCCGTAAACTTTTTCTACATAGGGCTTTTTGGGGTTTCTTGTGAGGGAATTGCTTTCAAAACGAGACTGTTTAGCCATGAGTTTCCCACAGTAATGACCACTTTTAAGTAACAGAAGCATATGCTTTTGCTTGTAACCATTATAGAAACTCAGTAGTAGGAGTTACATTTAAATTAATATTTTCCCATTATAATTAATTGTTTTTTGATGTTCTAGAAATGTAATTCACAAAAATAAAATGCTGTCTTTGTGATTTATAGGCAGTGTCTGTGTTGTGGTAAAATATGTAATCCTTTCGTTTTGAATATTTTTTTTGGTGTTTTATAAAAGTCTTAAGTACTTAGTCATTCAAAGCTAAATTTCAGTAGCTACTGATGGACTGTGTCTGTAACTTTGCTTGTGTTCTAACATTTTGGCTTGAATCTAGCTGCGAAGTGATGAAAACTGAATCATACTGTTGTGTTGTTACATTATGGGTTTTTTCCCACTGATAGGAGCATGCTGATGAAGTATACAGGTTTATTGCTTGGAGACATCAATTTGGTTTTAGTTCCCTAAGATTTTTCTACTTAATCTGTATAGCAATTTAAATGACCTAATCTTCTGGTTGTCAAAAAATAATTTGATTTTGTTGCTGTTTTTACAGATGCAGAAAAAGAAATAATGAGACTTAATACCTTAAATCAGGTAAACTGATTTCGAAATGATACCAACGCTGAAGTCATAATAGTAAGAACTAATGTGAATCATAGAATCATGCAAATGTAGGACTGGAAGGGACCTTGACAGGTCATCTAGTCCAGTCCCCTGCACTGCCATAGGTCTAAGCATTATCTAGAATATCTCTGACAGGCATTTGTCTGACCTGTTGTTAAAAACCTCCAATGATGGAGATTCCACACACTCTTTAGGTAATTTGTTCCAGTGATTAGCTACCCTTACAGTTAGACATTAGGAAAAACTTCCTAACCTAAATCTCCCTTGCTGCAACTTAAGCCCATTACTTCTTGTCCTTTCCTCAGTGGTTAAAGAGAACAAGTTATCACCCTCCTCTTTGTAACAACTTTTTATGTACTTCAAGACTGTTATGTTGCCCCTCAGTCTTCTCTTCAGACTAAACAAACCCATTTTTTAAATCTTTCCGTATTGGTCATGTTTCCTAGACCTTTAATCAATTTTGTTGCTCTCCTCTCGACTTTCTCCAATTTGTCCACCTCTTTCCTTAAGTATGGTGCCTAGAACTGGACACAGTACTCCAGTTCAGGCCTTCTCAGTGCTGAGCAGAGTGGAAGAATTACTTCTCAACTTGCTTACAACTATCATACTAATACAACCCAGAATGTTGTTCGCTTTTTTTGCAACAGTATTACATTGCTGACCCGTATTTCGTTTGTGGAACACTATAACCCCCAGATCCTTTTCTGCAGTTCTCCTTCCTAAGGTGGTCATTTCTTATTTTGTATTTGTGCTGTTGATTTGTATTTGTCCTCATTGAATTTCATCCTATTTAATTCAGATCATTTCTTCAGTGTGTCAAGAAGATTATTTTGAATTCTAATCCTGTCCTCCAAAGTGCTCACAACTCTCCCCAGCTTGTTGTCATCCGCAAACTTCAAGTGTATTCTCTATACCCATTATCCAAATCATTTATGAAGATATTGAATAGAACCAGACCCAGAACAGATTCCTGTGGGACCCCACTCAATATGCCCTTCCAGCTTGATTGTGAATCATTGATAACTACTCTGAGTACAGTTTTCCAGCCAATTGTGCACCCATCTTATAGTAGATTTGTGTAGGCTATAGCTCTCTGAGAATGTCATGTAAGACAGCATCAAAAGCCTTACTAAAGTTGAGATATATTACATAATCTGCTTTTCCCCCTATCCACAAGGCTTCTTACCCTGTCACAGAAGGATATTAGGTTGGTTTGACATAATTTGTTCTTGACAAATCCTTATTGACTGTTACTTATTCCTCATTTTCTTCTAGGTGCTTACAAATTGATTATTTACTCCATTATCTTTCTGGGTACCGAAGTTGAGCTGACAGGTCTATAATTCCCTGGATTGTCCTGTTGACCGTCAATGATCTGACTAGAAGATAATCAGGTTCTTGTTCTGAAATCAAGCCACAGAATTAGAGAATGTAGAGAGTCCTGTACTTTGTAAGGACTCTCAGGGTCTGTGGCAAGAACATTCTTGCTGAGGACAAAGCCAAGCTTTGGAGATTTTTATTAAAATCGAGGAAAAGGTCATCAAAGCTCCAAACCATAGAATCAGAAAGAATAATATAGTTCTATGGGTACCTGTGGTAACATTCCTTACAAAAGCTACTCACACCCTTCCTTGGGGACCTGGTGATGGAAGACAAAGGACTAACCTTGTCTCTGGCATACCAAATGAGTCCGATGATCCAGATTCCTCAATGCTGAGATGGTGGAGAGAAGGGTCAAATGTAGAGTAGCTAAGCCAAGGGTGGGCAAACTACGGCCCGCGGGCTGGATCTGGCCCCTCAGCGCCTTGGATCTGGCCCGCGGCGCCACCGGCACCACATCCCTGCGGCCCCTGGGCAGGGGGGCAGAGGGTTCCATGCGTTGCTCTTGCCTCCAGGCACCGCCCCCTGCAGCTCCCATTGGCTATGAACGGGGAACCGCGGCCAATGGGAGCTTTGGGAGAGGTACCTGGAGGCGCGGCAAGGGCAGTGCACGCAGAGCCCTCCGCCCCACCTCACCCAGGGGCCGCAGCGCTTCCGGGAGCGGCGTGGGGCTGTGGACGGGGCAGATATGCAGGGAGCCAGCCTGCCCTGGCCCCGGTGCACGCCGCTGCCATGCCGGAGCCTCAATCTCTCCTGTACCCCACCCCCCCAACTCCCTGCCCTAAGCCCCCTGCCCTGAGCTCCCTGCTGCACCCTGCACCCCTATGCACCTCAACCCCGTGCCCTGAGCCCCCTGCCGCACCCCACATCCCTCCAGCACTCCAACCCCCTGCCCTGAGCCCCCTCCTGCACTCCGCATCCCTCCTGCACCCCAACCCCCTGCCCTGAGCCCCCTCATACATCCTGCACCCCGATCCCTTGCCCTGAGCCCCTTCCTGCACCCCCTCCTACATCCCGCACTCCCTCCCACACCCCAACCCCTTGCCTTGGCCCTGCATACAATTTCCCCACCCAGATGTGTTCCTTGGCCCAAAAAGTTTGCCCACTCCTGAACTAAGCTATACTGCAAAAGCCAAGCTGGTAGCTAAACAAAAGAGGAACTAAAAGAACTAACTCCGCTTAGTGGTTTGCCCTCTTATAGGGTCCTGGCACTATCCTGAATATTCATGTCAGTGCCCAACCTTCCATGCCCAAATCTTATTCCCTCACCCACATAAATCTTTGGGTACACTTACTATATAGGCTAGCATATTTATGCATATTAATAGCACATCCATACAGACCATTTTGTATTTAAAGTCTGCCTTCTTCAAGTCCATTGTCTTTATTTTGCTGTTTTCCCTCCCACTGTTCCTTAGAATCATGAACTCTCTCATTTCATGATCATTTTCACTCAAGGTACCTTCTGTCTTCAGATTCTCAACTAGTTCCTCCCATTTTGTCAGAACCAAATCCAGAATAGCTTCTTCCCTGGTTGTTTTCTCCACCTCCTGTAATAAAAAACTGTCTCCAGTGCATTCCAAGAACTTGTTGGATAATCTGTGTCCTGGTCTATTGTTTTCCCAACAGATGTCTGGGTAGTTGAAGTCCCCCATTACCACCAATTCCTGTGTTTTGGATGATTTTGTTAGATGTTTAATAAAGCCTCATCCACCTCTTCTTCCTGGTTAGGTGGTCTATAGTAAATCCCTACCAGGACATCACCCTTGTTTTTTACCCCTTTTACTCCTGATCCAGAGGCTTTCAACAGGTCTTGCTCCCACTTCTATCTCAACCTCAGTGCAAGTGTAAGGAAAAGCACTCTTTTGAAATTGTATGTTTTGTATTGAACATCTTTAAAGCTTTTTTATTTTCATGTAGATAGTCTTGTGGTAATCAAGGAAGTAACTTTAGGCTAATAATTTCATGATTAAATATGCTTTCCCTATCTCTTCTATAGCCAATCTGGTATGAAAAACTCCACACACTCTAGTAGTTAGAACTATTGCACTCCCTCTAACAGTTTATTGTTCAATGTAATACAGTGTGTAACTTGTTTTTAATTAAGTAAGTGGTGAAGGCATCCTAGAAATCACATGTAAACTTTTCGACAGTATTACAGTATTTGCATTGTCACTTTCTAAAAATTGTTTTTCATTCTTACATGCTCCTTTATAGAAAAATCTAAAATGTTATAGACTTCTCACAGATGCTATTGTATTGATACTTTGATACAGATTCAGAAAAAACAAAATTCTCAGATGAATTACCAACTGCGTTTTTTTTGTAGGCTGATAGTTTTATTGGTGCAGGAGAAGATGGTCTAAAGGTTAAAACAGATACACAAGTTTTAAAAGAAGAAAATCATAAACTAGGAAAAGAAAAAGTATGTTAGTTAATTGACCATCTTTGCTTTTAGTTTTGTATATACATTTACTGCAGTATAAGAAAGAGTATTAACAAGCACATTGTGTGTGCATTACTATTCTGTGTAAAGTTTTCAGACCAGTCTTAAATCTACTTAAAAAATTTGACTTTGTTTATTAAAGTACTTGTATGAAGTTGTTGAACTTGTAGTATATTTTTTTCTCAATTTTTTACAAAAAATCTCAAGAAAATAATTTAATTCCATTTCAAAATTAAAAGAAATTATTTCAGTTAAATTCCCATATTAAAATAGGTATTTGATTCTGAATTGTATTTGTTACTACTGCTTGAAAGTACATCCCATTGACATATTGTAAGGGAAAGAGACAGCCTTTTCACTTTTTGTTTACTTGATAAATATTACGTCATAGAAGCTGATGTATTTTGAGTTGTAAATTAACCATTTTACAGAATTGCATTGATATGTTTCCTCAGATGTTGATTTAAAACAAAAGGAAAAGGACAAAAAGAATCTCTGAATTACTGGCTTTGTAGCTATAGCTTTCCAGCAGCTTCTGTCAGTTTTGTTAAATATGAGTCCCCTTCATATTTGGCATTGCATTGTGGTCTCTAAATTCTGTTTGCCATTATTTTCACACTGCATCCCACCCCGCGAATGACAACGACATTTTGGTATTGCACCATAGATCCAAAGATTTCAATTTCTTTGGTAGAAAGTTGTTAACATAGAGAAATGACATAGTGCTTGAAGCATCAAGTTTAAATACCTGGTCTCCCTGGAAATTTAGGTTCTTCGAGTAGTGTGCCTATTGGTGCTCCACTGTATGTGATGTGATCCCCTGTGCCTGGGATTGAAGATCTTTGGTAGCAGTGCCCATTGGGCCCCACATGCACTCCTCTCCATCTTGCGCCGAGGGTAACTTACAGCTGTGTGGTCCAGCCGCCCTCAGTTCCTTCTCGATCGCCTTTGGTATGGAATCTGGAGCAGAGCCCTTCTACCTCCTTAACCTTTAGAGAGACTCTATTTAGCTAACCTTACATTAGTAGGTGAATAGCCGTTTCTGTTAATTTTCTCCCCCTAAAAACATTTTTTTTATAGTTACTCTTCCCTCCCCATTACCTTACGCTTCCCTGTTTTCTGCCCTCCCCAAATGGGATCTCTCCTCCTCAGGACTATGCCAGGATCTCCTGGGTTCAAGAGGTGCCTCTCTTGTTAGGAGGCCTTTCCCGTGAGTGATGGGCACTCACGGTGCATCCACTGCCTCGGTGAGGGCCACGTCGCACAGAAGTGCACCCACTGCATCAACTTGACCACCGAGGCCCCAAAGGACTGTGAATTCAGATTCAAAATTCTCCTCATGGAGAGTTCTCTACGGCCAGCTTTGGATCCCAGCCTTGATACCTCTCCGGCCTGGCTCTCACCCTCATTTCGGGCAGCAGTCGATTCCCACTCGCCATGGCCATCCAAGAGGAAATCCTCTCTTTCCCACTCAGATGGGAAGAAATGGGCCACTTCTTCACCTTCCAACGAACCGCCTCAGATAAAGCCATCCCCTGCAAGGTCAGTAGCCTCAACATCATCAGGGGTGAGACTTAGCTCCCATGACCACCTGAGTACTCTGATACTGGAGCTAAACAGAAGTCCAAGGACCCTAAATGGGCAGGACCACAGGCGGACACACTGTCTCTCGGGACTGAGAGAAACAGTGCAAGAGCTTCCGAAACAGTAATGAGTGCCTCATCCAAGACAACCTTGGGTGCGTCAGCACTGACAACAGTGTCGGCATCGACCAAATCCTCGGCACTGAGCAAGCTCTCGGGATCAAGTAAGCCATCTATACCATTTACTGGCTGCTCGAGGGAATGCACTCCACCCTCGACATTGATAGTTCCTTCAATTTCTAAACAGCCACTGGTGCCGATGATGCTCCTGCCTGCGCCACAGCAGTTCAGATATCCAAGGGACCTGGTCATCTGTGATACACCAGACGCTCCACTCCTTCATTGCAAGCTCCCAATAGTTCATCCTCTTTCCCCGGAATCAGAACCCTACTCCCCTTCGCCACTGAGAACTGCACCACCCTTTCCCAGCAATGACAAAGAGGAAGAGGACGAAGAGTACTCCATTCCACCCGCATATCTGGAACACAGATAATCCTGTGCTCATCTGCGTTATCCAGAACCAAACCGAGGGCCTGGTATGGACCCCCATGGATGCAACCCCACATGCCAATCTCTCCACATTGGCCCTACTGGGCCCCAGGGGCTATCTGTGTGCACAGTTTCCCAAACCACCTATAGAGCAGAGCCAGAAACACGAACGATCGTCATCCTCATCTGTTTCTTGACCATCTGATGTCGACCCAGTAACGATGGAGGAACAGCAGGAAGAAACAGAGGAAGAGGTTACACCACCACTCCACTACTCCTCTCTTCCCCGATGAGGCGATCATGCCACCACCTCCTACGTTGGCGGACTATTTCAGACACTTTCAACAACTATTCTGCAGAATCGCTGAATCTCTCCAGATCTTGCTGGAGGAAGTCCGAAGAGCAACAACACAAGCTGCTTGGTATTCTACACGCCTCCACATGGGTGACGATAGCCCTCCCTATTCATGAGGCCCTATTAGACCCTGTCAGTATGCTCTGGCAGACCCCAACGTCCATCCTGCCAACCTACAAGCAAGAGGACAAAAAATATTATGTCCCCACTAAGGACTTGGAATTTCTTTTTTCCCATCCTACTCCAAATTCCCTGGTCGTCAATGCGGTACATGAGAAGGGATGCTAACACCACTCCAGGGCAACCTCCAACAAGAGGGACTGGATGCAACTAGACTTGTTTGGTCTCAAAGCATATTCTTCTGTGACACTCTAGTATCGAATCACCAATTACAAGGCTCTTATGGCCAAATACAATTATATGAACTATTCTAAAATACAGGAATTCTTCAACATCTGCCAGACGATAAGGAGCAAATCCAGACACTCGTGACTGAAGGACACCACCTCGCCCGCACAGCACTACAAGCTTCCCTGGATTCCGCAGACATGGCTGCTCACTCCATCGCAACAGCTGTGGTAACGAGACGAGTGACATGCCTTCACCTCTCTGGATTCCCTAAAGAGGTGCGCAATCTGTAGTCGAGGATCTACCTTTGAAGGTTCCAAACTATTTGCCGAGCACATGGATGAGTCTCTACATACTCTAAAGCACTCTCGAGCGATTCTCAGCTCTCTCGGCATATATAAACCAGCGCTGAAGAGACATCGGGGAAATACCAGCTGAGATCCTGAGTTCCACATTTCACTCATCGCTGTCAGTCTGACACACAACAAAGGCAACAGAGATCCCCTCCGAAATGCAGACAAAGGCCGTCTCATGGAGCTACCTCTTATGCACCTTCATCTAAAATATAATTTTGAAGGTTTGGTCGAGGCCCAAGAAAGCCGCCTCCCGTTAAAGTTGCTGCAACCATCTTTAACAACCCACCAGTTTGACGACCGTTTAGCCCCTTTTTATCCGTCATGCTGACAAATCACTTTGAATACATAGATCCTGGAAATAATCAACAAAGGGTACTCCATTCCATTCCTATCCCTCCCCTCCTTCCTGTCCATCTTCAAATACCCTTCTCACAAACACCTTCTATGAGAAGAAGGAAATAACCTTCTGAGACTGGGGGCCATAGAATCGGTCTCATCCCAACACAGAGGGAAAGGTTTTTATTTCCACTGTTTTCTGATCCAAAAGAAATCCGGTGTCTGGAGACAGATCCTAGACTTATGAAACCTCAACAAGTTCATTTAACTGCAACACTTCAGTCTGGTCACACTATCAACCATTATCCCAGCACTGTAGTATGGGTACTGGTTTTCAGCCCTCAACTTCCAAGAGACACATTTTCACATCACCATACACCCTGCTCACAGATGATTCCTCAGATAACATCCTGGGGACCAATCATTACCAATACAAGGTACTACCTTTTGGACTCTTTACAGCGCCTCACCCCCAAGTATTCTCCACAATCCTTGTGGTAGTGGCAGCATACCTGTGCAAATAAGGCATCGTCATAGTCCCATACTTAGACAACTTTCTCCTCAAAGCTCCATCTGAACCTGACACAATTCACACCATATGAAAGATGATGGAGCTTTTCTTGAACCTTGGCCAAAAATCAACACTGTCACTTGTACAACATCTGGAGTTTATTGGGGCACACCTGGATGCAATATAGGCCAGAGCCTTCCTTCCAGCTCACAGATTTTCTATAATAGTCGACCTCGTATCCACTGTGAGAACCAGTCCGCAGCTCTCCACCAGGAAGTGTCTCCAGCTGCTCGGCCATATGGCAGCGGCCACATTCATGGTAAAACACGCCAGGTTGCACGTCTCCATGTGTGGCTACGCACAGTGTATGTACCTCACAGACACAAGTCTTCACAAACTCCTATCCATATCTGGTGGACATAACACCAAAAGTCTGTATGGGGGTCCCTTTTCTCCAACCAACACTGTCCCTGATTTGAACAACCAACGCCTCCCTAATTGGTTGGGGAGCACACCTTCAGACCCACATGGTGCAGGGAAGGTGGTCTCCTGCAGAATTCTCCATGCACATCAACCTTCTAGAACTGCGAGCGGTTAACAATGCGTGCCAACATTTCCTACCACTGATCAGACATCAAACCATAAAAGTAATGACAGATAATATTGCCTGCATGTTCTACATCAAAAGACAAGGCAGAGTAGGGTCCCACTCCCTATTCTCGAAAGCACTGAAATTGTGGAACTGGTGTATCCAACAGGACATCAACATTTCAGCTGCATATCTTCCTGGACAGCAGAACAGCATGGTAGACTCACTGAGCAGACAATTCTTACAAGACCATGAGTGGGAACTAGATACAAGAGTCCTTCAGCGCATATTCAGCCACTGGGGATTTCCCAGCATAGATCTCTTTGCCACACCAAGAATGCCAAATTCCCTCGATTCCGCTCACAAGCAGCTCTAGGCCACTGGTCTCTGGGAAACACCTTCCTTATTACATGGGATGATCCACTACTCTCTGCCTTTCCACCTTTTCCCCTCTTGTTCAAGGTACTTCACAAAATACATGTGTAACGAGCCTGAGTCATCCTCATATTCCCAACATGGCCATGACAAATTTGGTATCCTTACCTCCTATGCATGACATTATGTGCTCCGATCACCCTGCAATTGATTCCACACCTCCTCTCACAGGATGCGGGCCAAATCCTCCAACTCAATCTGTCTCCTTCATGGTTTCGGGATTTGGAGATGTCCTGTTCAGAGGCAATAGAAGAGGTTCTCTTAAATAAGTGAGACGACTCACTGTACTTGCCTCCAGAAAAGGGAAAAATTCCGATCCTGGTGCACAGCCAATCATGACTGTGATAAATGCCCCATTACCATTCATTGTAGATTATATATTAGATTTTAAAAGATCGGGCTTCTCTACAAGCTCTGTTTGGGTGCACTTGGCTGCCATCACAGCATTCCTCACCCCAAGATAGATGGCTATTCGATATTCACATACCCCGCTCATGAAGAGATTCCTTAAAAGCCTTTAGAACCTTTACCCTCACATACGACATCACAACCTCGTTTTGAACTGTCTCACCAGATCACCATTTAAGCTCATGACAACATGTTCTTACATTCATTCTTTCCATGAAAACAGCAATTCTTGTAGCTATCACGTCTGCCTGACAGAGAAGAAATAAGGCTCTCATGGCATACCCCCCGTATACAGTTTTTCATAACGGCAAGGTCACATTATGCACGCATCCAAAATTCCTAGCCATGGTGCTGTTCTCCTTCCATTTGAACCAACTTATCCACCTTCCCTGCTTCTTCCTGAAATGCATACCAACCAACATGAAGCAATGCTACACACCTTGGACATTAGGTGAGCATTAGCCTTTACCATGATAGAACTAAATCTTTCAGACAATTGTCGTGCTTATTCCTCTCAACTGCCAAATGATCAAAGGGAGTGGCTGCATCCAAACAGTGTCTTTCCAAATGGACCTCTCAGTGCATATGCCTTTCTAATCAACTGCACAACCAGCTGCCTCCACCTGGAACTTGAGCGCATTCCACTCGCACTCTCTCCACATTGATTGCCTTTCTCAACAATGTGCCGATCACTGACATTTGCAAAGGGCCACCTGGGCATCCATGGACACTTTTGGCCAACACTATACACTATCCATGTTGCAGCATCAGATCCCCTACTAGGACACACTGTCCTCTCCTCCTTATTGGACACCACTCCAAAGCCCCAGCCTTACATCTATGGGCACTGCTCTACAGTCATCTACAGTGAAGCACCCAGAGGGACACTACTTGAAGAAGAGACGGTTACTCATCATGTGCAGTAACTGAGGTTCTTCAAGATGTGTCCCGCTATGGGTGCTCCACTACCTGCCCTCCTCCCCCCCTCTGCTTCAGAACTCAAAGATAAACTCTGCAGTAGAGAAGGAACTGAGGACGGTTGGATTGCACAGCACTATATATAGATGCCCCCCCATGGCATGAGACAGGGAGAAGCGCCTGTGTGGCCCAGGTGCAAGGGGTGCTGCTACACCGCCTACAGTGGCGCATCCATAGGAACAAACATCTCAATGAATATGTTACTGCACATGGTGAGTAACCTCTAACTTTTGGCAGGGTTGACTCATTATTCTATGGTAATCAGAGTTCCATGTAGTTTACTATGTGTTTGGAAGGACTTTCAAACTGAGGTCCCCTCTACTCTGCATGGACACTAAAAGTCCCATTGCATTTTTCATCAGAGGTTTACTCGGATACCCTTGGTCAAAACCCTCCCTTCCCTCTTCCATTTTGCATCATGCTGTGCTCCAAGAGCCACATCCATTATGCAGCTATGAGAATTTACACCAGCTGAGGACAGATTTCACTTGTGGATGATGTGATTCTTCTTTGTGCGCAGTTATAAGTTGCACTGGGATCTTTGTGATGAAAATATTTTTACATATGTATGTATATTAATGTTAGAGACACCTTCCTCACACTGAATAATGCTTAGTTGGGATAAAACTCAAGTAAACTTGTGTTTCTGGTGTCCAAAAGGCTTGCTTTTTTGTTCAAACTTAAAATGCTCTGGTTGACAAAATATAAAGCCTGTTTTCAAACCAGTGTTTAAAAACTTGAATAATAGTATAAAATCCAATTTATGTCCAATAAAGGAAGAACTTCAGAAGAAACTGGCAAGTTTACAACATAAAAATGAGGATATTACATCTGCGTCTATTGAAGACACGAATTTGGAATTAAATCAATTAAGGCAAGAGTTGGAAAGGAAGGAGGATGAACTCAAAGAAAGTATTACAGAAAGAGCAACACTAACAGCAGAATTAGAAGAATTGGACAAGCAGAATCAAGAAACTATGCAGGTAACAAATATTGCCGAGAATTAATGGACATCTTTACTTTTTAGACATTCAGTGTGTGATGTTAATCTTTGCTCACAGATATCGGGGCCTATTAGGTTCCCAATAGTCTATTCTTGCCATACTGGATAAGACCAGTGGTTTGTTTAGTCCAGCATCCGTCCTGACAGTGGCTGATACCAGAAGCTTCAAGGAAATGCAAAAAAAATTCCTGTAATGGACAATTATAGAATAACATACCCGCTACCCACAATGGAAATTTCTTACTAATTTCTGTCAGGTAGTGGTTATCATGTGCCCTCTAGCATGAGGGTTTATTTCCCTTTTGAGGAATGTTGCAGTACCAAGGATATGTTTAGGTTTTTTTAATCCTAATAAAATCTTGACCTTCATAATAACTTGTGACAATGAGTTCATATGTTAACAGTGTGTTATGTAAAAAGCATTTCCTTTTATCAGTTTTAAATTTTATTAGTTTATAGTAGCATAATATCTTAAACTTTTTTTAAAAAAAATCATCAGATTTTGACCAAAGTATGTGAAGCTTAGTGGTCACAGATTATTTTTAATTAAATATTAATAGTTTTATATTTGTCACTATTTTAACTGATATTCAGATTTTAAAAATGTATTTGAAATACATTTGTTTCACATTAACTACTTGACTTTTCAGAAAGAAAATGGTCAATACCACAACAATTAGGGCCTTACCAAATTCAAGGTCCATTTTGGTCAATTTCATGGTCATAGGATTTTAAAAATTGTAAATTTCAGCTATTTAAATCTTAAATTTCATAGTGTTGTAATTGTAGGGGTCCTGACCCAAAAAGAAGTGGTGGGGGGAGGTCACAAGGTTATTGTAGGGGGGGTTGCGGTACTGCAACCCTTACTTCTGCGCTGCTGCTGACGGCAGCACTGCCTTCAGACCTGGGCAGCTGGAGAGCGGCAGCTGCTGGCTGCGAGCCCAGCTCTGAAGGCACAGCTGCCGCCAGCAGCAGCACAGAGGTGAGGATGGCATGGTATGGTATTGCCACCTTTACTTCTGCACTGCTGCCTTCAGAGCAGGGCCCTCAGTCAGCAGCCACCACTCTCTGGCCACCCAGCTTTGGATTCAGCAGTGCAGAAGTAAGGGTGGCATGGTATTATCACCCTTACTTCTGCGTGGCTGCTGCCATAGCGCTGCCTTCAGAGCTGGGTGCCCAGCCAACAGCCGCCAATCTCCGGCTGCCCAGCTCTGAAGGCAGCGAAGAAGTAGGGTGGCAATACTGTGATCCCCCTAAAATAACCTTGTGACCCCCTCTGCAACTCTCTCTTTTGAGTCAGGACCCCCAATTTGAGAAATGCTCAATTTATGCCTTATTTCCAGTCTGAATTTGTCTATCTTCAACTTCCAGCCCTTGGATCGTGGTATACCTTTCTCTGCTAGATTGAAGAGCCCATTATTTAATATTTGTTCCCCATGTACGTACTTATAGACTGTAATCAAGTCACCCCTTAACCTTTTCTTTGTTAAGCCAAATAGATTCAGCTCACAACAAGGCATGCTTTCTAATCCTTTACTCATTCTTTTGGCTCTTCTCTGAACCCTCTCCAGCTTATCCACATCCTTCTTGAAATGCGGGCCCCAGAACTGGGCACAGTATTCCAGCAGCGGTTGTGCTAGAGCCAAATATACTGATAAAATGACTTCTCTACTAACTACTCGAGATTCCCCTGTTTTTGCATCCCAGGATCGCATTAGCTCTTTTGACCACAGCATCTCACTTGGAGCTCATGTTTAGTTGAGTATCCACCACAACCTCCAAATCTTTGTAAGGGTCACTACTTCCCAGGATAGAGTCCCCCATTCTGTAAATATGGCCTACATTCTTTATTCCTAGGTGTATACAGTTACATTTAAGTTATTAAAACACACATTGTTTGCTTGCACCCAGTTTACGAAGTGATCCAGATCTTTCTGAATCAGAGACCTGTCATCTTCATTATTTACCACTTCTCCAATTTTTGTGTCATCTGCAAACTTTATCAGTGATGATTTTATGTTTTCTTCCAGGTCATTTGATAAACATGTTAAATAGCATAGGGCGAAGATAACAATCCCAGAGGGACCTCACTGGGAACAGACCTCTTTGATGACAATTCCCTGTTTGCAGTTACATTTTGAGCCCCATCAGTTAGTAGTTTTTAAATCATTTAATGGGTGCCATGTTAATTTTATATCATTCTAGTTTTTTAATCAGAATGTTGTGCGGTGCCAAATCAAATGCCTGACAGAAGTCTAAGTATATTACATCAGCACTATTATGTTGATCAAACAAATTTGTAATCTCTGTAACAGGATGTGCTGAATCAGGAGCTGACTCAGCATCCTGTCTCTCCAATCCCCACCAATATAGATTAATTGAGAAGGGTCAATCAGCTGAGTAGATCTATAGCTGAAGGGCTAATTAGAGGGGGAAGCAACCCCAGGATCTGGGAGCCTATAATTTGAGAGGAAGGAAACCATGGAAGGGGAAGCTGAGAACCAGAAGGAAAGCAGAGATGGGCAGGGTTGACTGCTGCCAACTCTATTCCCTTCTCCAGAAGCAAGTGGGGGAGCTGGCTAGGGCTTGTAAATATAAGTAAATAGCACTACCGGTAGAGGCCTGCTGGCACAACAAAATAAAACGTGGTGGTAAAGGAGACATGAAGTGGTTTGGGCTTTACTTAAGACCTGAAAGGACTCTCAGGGGACCACCCCATAACAATTTCATCAACAACAGATATCAGGTTTGTTTGACAGGATCTGTTTTCTATAAACCCATCTTGATTTGCCTTAATTACATTACCCTTCTTTAGTTCTTTATTAATTGCATCCCAAATGAGCCATTCCATTATCTTCCCAGAATCGATGTCAGGCTGACAGACCTATAATTAACTGGGTTATCTCATTTACCCATTTTAAAAATTGGCAAATTAGCTTTCTTCCAGTCATCTGGAACTTCCCCAGTACTCCAAGACTAATTGAAAATCAACATTAATCGTCCAGCTAGCTCAGCAGCCAGTTCTTTTACATCTCTTGAGTACAAGGTGGCTGGACCTGCTTATTTTAAAATGTCTAACTTTAGTAGCTACTGTTTAACGTCCTCCAGAGATGTGAGTGGAGTGGAAAGTGTGTTATCACCATATGATGAGACTATATCATCTGTTTTTTCCCCAAATACAGAACAGTAATATTTATTGAACACTTCTGCCTTTTCTGCATTATTATTGATAATTCTACCATTTCCATCTAGTAATGGGCCAATACCATTGTCAGGATTCTTTTTGTTCCTAATATATTTAAAAAACTCCATCTTATTATCCTTAATTCTCCCGGCCATAGTTTTCTCCTTTTGTCCCTGGGCTTCCCTTATCAATTTTCTACAATTCCTAACTTCTGATTTATATTCACTAGTATCAACTTTCCCTTTCTTCCATTTGTCACATATTTTTTACAGCTGCCTTCACTCTCCTTCCCTTTAAACCAGGTTGGTTATTTAACCAGCCCAGTCTTCTTCCTTGATTGTGAGATTGTGCTTTTTGGGGCATCTAGTAAGGTGTTCTTAAAGGATTCCCAATTATCATTCACATTTTTCGGATTAAATTCTTCCTCCTATCTGTGATCATTGCACACACCAGCGACTCCTTGCATTCACTCCAACAAGCCTCTTGTGTGCCACCCTTCTATCCCCCTTTTACTTCAGTGACTCTCTGCACACACACAGCCCCATACCACAGAATCTTTGCTTTCTGCCCCCCATTCTCACCTCCACCAAGTGTGTGACTCCCCATTCCAGGGGCTCTGTGTGCTGTCTTTTTACCTCTTCCCCCATACCAGGGTCCCTCAATTTTCCTCCCATGCAAGAGGCTATATGCACCCCCGTACCTTCCTTCCAAACTGTATCAAGGTTCCCCATTCCCCCCCCCCATTAGGGTTTCTTTGTGACCCCTCCATTTCCCCTCATGCCAAGGGCTATGTATGGCCCCAAATGAGGGTCTTCACTTTACCCCCTCAGTCAGGGATCTATGTGCCCCCCATTTCTCCCTCCTCCCCCTGCCAGGGGTTCTGTGTGCCTCCATTTCCTGGTCCCCCTTTTTCTCCTGCCAGAGATTGTGCCTGCCCCTATTCCTTCATGCCCCAATACCATGATCCCTCATTCTCCTTCTCCCTCTGTGTGCACCTCCATTCCCCACTACCACCATTCTTACTCTCCTTTTTTTTTTTTTTTTCCTCTCCCTTTCTTTCCCTTTCAGTGTGTCAGCAGCATTGGGAGAATTGGCAGAACTCAAATGAGGTGGTTTGTTCTGCTGGAATATGTTAATGAATGCGATAAATCAGTTCTTCAATTTATAGACAATTACAAGGGTGGTTGGAGGTGTTAGCTCTGCTAACCAGATGCCAGGGGCTTAATGTGTTCCCCATTTCCCCCTTAAGGTTTTCATATTTTTCACCAAATTGCATAGTGTTCTGCCCATTAATGCTTAGAATATTCCCTTAACTTTTGGAATTGATTGGATGTCATGGTCAAAAGTTATTGCATTACACCCAAACAAAGAAATGCCGTCAAGCTCGACCAATAATACATCTGCACAAAGAGGTTGAATTAAGGTTGAATGGGCAACCTTATTCAAGCATTTTGTAGGCTTTTTACTTTGCAACCTCAGTGTTCTTAATTTTTAAATTAATTTAAATTTAAATTCTAGATATATTTTTAATGTAATTTCTTATGTTTTTAAAAAGCTTGAAGAAAATCTTGTTTTTTCAGTTATATGGAACCATGTTGGCCCCCATGTGGGTCATCTCTAGGATTGGGATGTTTAGATCCATAGCATAGACCTCTGCCATGGATCTTTAGATTCATAACATAGACCTCTCCCACATGAGCTAACAGAGTAACTGGTAGCAATGGAAGGCTGTCACCTTCCATGTGGACCTGCCATTAGATGAGGAGTGAAGACACACTGTCAGGTGGATTTCACAGCTGTTTGCTAAACTGCAAAAAAATAGAGACTATAGAATAATGGTTTCAGTTCTCAGTCCTGTAGGGGAGTGTTTCCCAGTGGTTATAGACCCTTCTGCCCCCGTCTTTCCGCTCCTATTCTTACCTTACCCTCACCCTTATTCTCCATTTGAGTCAGGTAGCTTCTTTCTCCTCTATTTTGCCTGCATGCCAGTAGAGAGAGCATTGAGAGTTGCTCTCAGTTCCTGTCCTTGTCACTACAGCAGCTCCTGGCAGCCAGGAGGAGCAATTGCAGTGAAAGTCTTGTTCAGTCCCTGAAGCCACAGGATAGTGCATGCTCCATCTCACTGTGGGAATGGCTCATGGGCAGTCTAGTCAGCACATAAGAGCTGTGAGAAGTGGAGCATGCTCAGTGCAAATGGAATCTTCAGAGAATTTAGCTGCAAAACTGTAGTGTGTGTCTACTGAGCATGTGCAAACACTTTTCCCCCCCAAAGGATTAGAACTTTGCCAGATTTGGATGAATTTTCTCAGGGACAGCAAAAGCACATCACTAGCGTTAGTGGGAGAGACTCTTCCCCCCCCCCCCCATCCCATTCCCCCATTACAAAATTTCAAGTCCCTGCTCCAAAGTATGGAGGTGCTAGAGATCCTCACTGAAACTATTGTAAAGAGTTTTTTAATGTGGGCAAAAAGGTGTGTTTTTCACTAATCTCATTCTCAAAAATGGCTGAAGCATTTTAATTGAAACTGTCCCCAAAACATCAGCCTTGGGCACCTGGCATGGGAAATTTCAGGCCAAATGGTTTGTTTGGCAAAATTAACTGAAAACAAAGTCTTATAATGGAAAGTGTCGGGCAACTTAACTGTAAGCATCACTGTCTGTGCTGCCTATAATAAATGAGCTGTCTGTCAAATTTTCAATTGTATTTTGTTACTGCTGTGTTAAGAATTTTAAAGTTCCAAATGTTCATTTGACCTAGTTGAAAAAAGTTTCCCTTTGTCTTAACCAAATCTTATATACACCTGGGATTTCTTTGATGTTAAGGCTTCATGGCTTAAGCTATTTTGTAGACCAAAATAGGTTCTCCTTTAAATGTAATATGCTATTTCCTTCCAGTACATCACTTGAACGCCAGTGGTTTGATAGAATTATTACGGTATATCTGAAAATCTTAGGCTGTCCGCTCTTGGGAAGCACTGACTTCTCTTAGGGGTGCTCAAGCAAGTCCATGAAAGAACAGTATGTTTTGTTAATTATTGGGTTTTTTTAACATAAAAATGTACTGAAACAGAGTTGTCTATTGAAAAGTGAATATTCAATAAATTTGTCTTTGCTGTTGTGTGCTAATATCCTTGTGTTTTGACCATGTGTTTAAAATAGTCTCAAAATGTTCCATATTTTCTATAGGCTTTTTAATAAAGACTGGAATGGAAGAAATATTCCTATAATTTCTAACATGATTAACCTCTGTTTGAGTCCCAAATATTCTGATATGGTCTATATTAGGCAGGCATGCTATACCAATTTATCAAGTTTTTTGTGGAAGTCAAATATAAACACTACTTGCAGGTGGTACAGACTGTATGTTAATTCATATTTATGTATTCATGTGAATGAACATTAATCACATTTACTTATTTGTGACTTGATTTAATGCCTCACTAGCTCTAAATAATAGCTCAAAATATTTGGAAGTACACAGCTAAATGGATGTTTACTGTATGCCAATTTAATTATCCTGAGAAATCCTGGAAATTTTTGACTTTTACATTTGACTTATTCTTTTGGAGAGTGATTCTATAGGTTTGATGGAATATATTTTTAATAATTTGAAAATAACTGCTTAGTCAACTCCTTTTAAAAAATCCTTTACATTCTTTTGTTATCCAGATGATTACATGAATGAAAGCTCTGTTTTTACTGGCTCTGTTTTTATCCTGATGAATGCTTGTTTCTGTTTATTTTAGCATATGATTACCCTGAAAGAGCAGCTATCAAAACAGCATACAGAAGCTGATAGTACCATCAACCAGCTGAAACTTGACATAGATTTTGAAAGAAGGAAAGTGTCTGAAGTAGAAGCTGAGAAGATGGAAATGAGTAAGGAACTAGAAACCCAGAAATCAAAAATGAACCACTGTACATTTGCACTTAATGATTTGCATATGAGTAATCAGCAGCTTCAGCATAACATTAAGGATTTACAAGAACAACTAAAGAAATCCCAAGATTGTAACTTGAATAATAAAAAGGAAATTGCAGAATTGAAGCAAAATCTGAAACAAAAAGAGGAGGAACTTTCTGTTTCCCAGAATGAGTTAACAAAGATAATTAATCAAGAACCTAACAGTAACTCTCAAGATCTTTCACTTAAAGAAAGAGAAGCAGAAATTGCAAAACTAAATAAAGACATTTCAGAAAATAAACAACTAAATCGAAATTTGGAGAAATCAGTTTGTGATCTTAAAATGGAAAATGGAAAGCTTCTGGCAGTCTGTGAAGAACTAAAACAGCAGTTGCATGAAGCCTTTGCTGAGAAAAATAAGGTTTCCCTGGAAAAAGATACTATGTTGGAGGTTTTGAAAATGGAAAAAGGACAGTTGGAAACTGAATTAAGCCAGACCGAAAAGCGGCTGTTGGAACAAGCACAAAAATATGAACAAACCATTGAGGACCTGTCAAATGCACGTAACATGAACACCAATGCATTACAGCTTGAACATGAGCGTCTAGTGAAATGTAATCAAGAGAGGGACTTTGAGATAGCAGAACTCAAAAGAAACATTGAGCAGATGGAAGCCGACCATGAAGAAACTAAAGAGATGTTGACAACTAGCTTAGGAGGACAAAAGCAGTTGACAGAACTCATAAAAGAGAAAGAGGTGTTTGTTGAAAAATTTAAAACTAGAGCTCTAGAGTTGCAACAGGAACTTGAGGAATATGTTAAGGATTCCAAAAAGCATGAGATTTTAAGACAACATTTAGAAGAAAAGGACAAAAGTCTTGCAGCCATGAAAGAAGAAAACAATCATCTGAAAGAAGAGATTGAAAGACTAAAGGACCAGCAAAGCAGATCTCCACCTGTGGCTGAGCCTAAAACACTTGATATTATTACTGAACTTGAAGCTGAGATAACACAGTTACATGTAATAAAGAATAATCTTGAAGAAGAAATAAAACTTCACAAAAAAACAATTGAAGATCAGAGTCAAAATACTGTGCAACTTCAACAGTCTTTGCAGGAGCATAAAAGGGAAATAGATGAGTCCAAATTTCAGTATGAGCAAATGAATGTGTCACATGAAAAGCTTTTCTTGGAGAAAGATGAGGAAATTAAAAGTTTGCAGAAAACAATTGAACAAATTAAAACTCAGTTGCACAATGAGAGGCACGTCTTTCAGACAGACTCCTCTGATCTCTTTCAAGAAACCAAAGCCCAGACACTTAATGGAGAAAATGGCAACGAAAAACATGACTTGTCTAAGTCTGAAATTGAAAGACTAGTAAAAGGTATCAAAGAGAGAGAAAAGGAGATTAAGCTTCTGAATGAAAAGAATGTCGTCTTAACTCAACAAATTGATCACTTGTCTAAAGATCAAGTTGGTAAACTCACTCAGATCATCCAAGAGAAAGACTTTGAGTTACAAGCTCTCCATGCAAGTATTTCCTCTTCATCATATAGACAGGATGTTCTGTACCTTCGACAGCAACTGCAAGCCTATGCCATGGAAAGAGAACAGGTGCTGGCCGTTTTGAGTGAAAAAACTAGAGAAAACAGTCAGTTAAAAACAGAGTATCATAAAATCATGGATATGGTAGCAGCTAAGGAAACTGCTCTGATGAAGTTGCAAGAAGAGAACCAAAAATTATCTAATAGGTTTGAAAGTAGCAGCCAAGATATGTTTAGAGAGACTATTCAGAATTTGTCCCGTATCATTCGAGAGAAAGATATTGAAATAGATGCCTTGAGTCAAAAATGCCAAACCTTATTGACTGTCCTACAGACATCCAACATAGGTACTGACAGTGGGTCAGGAGGTGTTAACAGTAATCAGTTTGAGGAGCTTTTACAAGAGCGTGACAAATTAAAGCAACAAGTAAAGAAGATGGAAGAGTGGAAGCAACAAGTAATGACTACAGTCCAGAACATGCAGCATGAGTCAGCTCATCTCCAAGAGGAGCTACACAAGCTTCAGGCACAAATTTCAGTTGACAGTGATAGCAGTTCTAAATTACAGATGGATTATAATGGCTTGATCCAGAGTTATGAGCAGAATGAGAAAAAAATGAAAAGTTTTAGTCAGGAGTTAGCACAAGTTCAGCATCGTATAGGACAGCTTCATAATACCAAGGATCTTCTTCTGGGAAAACTTGATATGGTAACACCGCCTCTACTGATGGCTTCTTCTGTTTCACAAGCATCAGATATTCCAAGCAGTACTCCTCCTGAAATAGTCAGTGATGCGTCGAAACTCCTTCAACAGGAATTGGAGCAGCTTAAAAAAATGTTACAAGAAAAAGATGTGACTATCAGAATTCTTAAGGAAAATAATCAAAGACTGTCTGATTCCATGGCTGCAACATCAGAGTTAGAAAGAAAGGGACAAAAGGACACTGATCCGGAGATGAAGCAGATAAAGGGAAAATGTGATGTTTTCCAGAAGTCACTTAGGGAAAAAGACCTCTTGATTAAGTCTAAAAGTGATCAGTTACTTTCTGTAAGTGAAAATCTTAGTAACAAAGAAAATGAAAATGAGCTTTTAAAACAAGCCGTCACTAATCTTAAAGAAAGAAACCTAATTTTAGAAATGGACATCTGTAAGCTGAAAGAAGAAAATGAACAAATAGTAGCAAGATGCAGGGAGAAAGAAACCGAATTCCGGGCATTACAAGAGACTAACATGCAATTTTCAATGATGCTGAAAGAGAGAGAATTTGAATCCCACTCAATAAAAGAAAAAGCTCTTGCCTTTGAAAAACTATTGAAAGAAAAAGAACAGGTATGTGAGGAATTTTTATTTGTTCTATTTGTTATAAATATTTTAAGGGAGAAAATACAAACTTTAAATGATGCATGTGACTGAATTCTCACAAATATAGTCGGGAGGTATTTGCCTAAAAGCAGCTTCTCATCTACTATATGAAACCTTGCAGAAGTGAATGAATTTCAAAGTTTTGAGTGATCTATTGCAAGATTAGTTCAGGATCTCTTAGAAACCTATATTTGTCTTCAAAGGTTATAAGTATTACTGTTAATGTTTAAATAAACCACTGCAAAGTGACCTGACATAGTTTAATTATGATGATATATTTGGCATCACTTAGAGCATTTTGTATCTACCAAGTGGAATCTAGAGCACCATTTCTCTGAAAAAGAACGTCTTTATAGATTTTAAAAATGTATTTGAATTACATAAAAAGTAACTTAATCTTTATGGCATAGTGTTAATGGCAGTTAGAATTGTGTGTGTGATATCTTCAGACACATGTGAAGTACTCTGCCAGTCCAAGTTTCTTACTCTCTACTATTCTAACTAAATACTATGAAATTGCAGTGATAAGGCACTTCAGTGATTTAAAATATAGTTTGGTTATGTAAAAACTATAAAATGTCATTGTGGGGTTTCATGTTTACTCTTGATCTTGTATCAAATACAGTTACAAATAAAAAGATGTTTTTTTTAATGGCTGGCCCTGCAAACTCAGCCTGGGCTCTTGAGAGTCAAACTTGTTTCTCTCCCATCTCTTGCATAATCCTCAGTAATAAAAGTCCTGCAGACTAAATTAGGCCTCTTGGTGTCACCAGTGCAGCCCAAATGCTTTCAGTGGGGTTTCACAAATATAACTGACTGGAACTTAGTAAACAACTCATTTGATGTTGCACGAGATAGTATAGCGTTCTCTCAGCTATGTTGGCTGTGCAGAGCTAATAAGAGTAGTAACTAAATAAAAAGAAGTTTCTAGTGGTTTTTGTTAAAGTCAACTCATATGATCTTGAATACATGCAGAGAGCAGATCTCTGTAGATGGAAGATGCCATTTTTTACGTAATTATTTTATTTTTATTACTGATAGTTCATAGTGAGCCTAAAAACATTAGTAGCCACTGTTTGTTTGTATATTATTTCATTTCTACTCATCTTGACTTTATACCTTTTGGAATGTATTTATTTTTATATAGCTATCATAAACAACTAACATAAATAATAACATAAACCACATGCCCAAAGAAGATTCAAATCAAGTTACTTAGAAATAGCTATCTTAACAGGAAGTATAGCGTCAGAAATTGTGTTTAGGGGAATTGCAATTTTGAAGTATGCATGTCTGAAATGGAAGGGTGCTAGATATCTATTTTACTGCAGTTAGTGAATACATTATATTTGTGTATGACTTTAGAAACAGTTTTTAATCTATCAGACAATATGCCAATAAAATCATTACAAAATAGACAACTGTTTCTTCAAAGGATCTTCTGTCCAGTAAGCACTCTCTTCTTCTATCCATGTCTGTCTATTTCATCTTTTTTTGGAGTTCAAGTTCTTTGGGACAGAAACTGGGCCTCCTTTTATACAGTGTCTTGCATGTTTGTGCAGAAATGCCTAATAAATAGTTACAATAGACTCGTTTAGTGTTTTAAGCATATATTCCTCAAAGTTTTTTTTATACATTTTCAACCTTTCTTTAATTGTATGTCCTCCTTCCAAAGGGCAAGATGGGGGAGTTGAATCATCTGTTAAATGAAGTTAAGTCAATGCAAGAAAAGGCTGTTTCTTTTCAGCAAGAAAGAGACCAAGTCATGTTAGCACTCAAACAGAAACAAATGGACAGCAGTGCCCTACAGAATGAGGTATGACATTAAACAAGACTAAAGCACAAAAAGGGTGAGTGAATAAGAAAAATCAGAGAATTTACCTTGCCTTAAGAATTATCTTAGATAAGTACCAAAAAAGGCATCTAAAATGTATATCTATGCAATATAATTAGGGCTGTCCATTAGTTGCAGTTAACTCAAATGATTAACACAAAACAAATTAATTAGATTAAAAAAATAGTCGTGATTAATAGCAGTTTTAATCATACTGTTAAACAATAATAGAATACCAATTTAAATTTATTATAAATATTTTGGAAGTATTTCAGCATTTTCAAATATATTGATTTCAATTACAACACAGAATACAAAGTGTACAGTGCTCACTTTATATTATTTTTATTACAAATATTTGCACTGTAAAAAAACCCCAAAAGATAGTATTTTTCAGTTTACCTCAATCAAATACTGTAGGACATTCTCTTTATCATGAAAGTGCAATATACAAATGTAGAATTTTTTTTTACATAACTGCACTCAAAAACAAAACAATGTAAAACTTTAGAGCCTATAAATCCACTCAGTCCTACTTCTTGTTCAGCTAATTGCTAAGACAGACAAGTTTGTTTACATTTACGGGAGATAATTCTGCCCGCTTCTTATTTACAGTGTCACCTGAAAATGAGAACGCATTCGCATGGCACTGTTTTAGCCGACTTGCAAGGTATTTATGCGCCAGATATGCTAAACATTCGTGTGCCCCTTTGTGCTTCAACCACCATCCGAGAGGCCATGCTGATGGCGCTTATTAAAAAAATAATGCGTTAGTTAAATTTATGACTGAACTCCTTGGGGGAGAATTTTATGTCTCCTGCTCCGTGGTATCGCATTCTGCCATATATTTCACGTTCTGGCAGTTTTGGATGACAACCCAGCATAGGTTGTTCGATTTAAGAACACTTTCACTGCAAATTTGACAAAACGCAAAGAAGGTACCAATATGAGATTTCTAAAGATAGCTACAGCACTCGACCCAAGGTTTAAGAATCTGAAGTGCCTTCCAAATCTGAAAGGGACGAGGTGGGGAACATACTGTCAGAAGTCTTAAAAGAGTAACGCTCCAATGCGGAAACTACAGTACCTGAATCACCAAAAATGAAAATCAACCTTCTGTTGGTGGCATCTGACTCTGATGATGAAAATGAAAGTGCATTGGTCTGCACTGCTTTGGCTCATTATGAAGCAGAACCTGCCTATTCTCACTTTCAGATGACATTATAAATAAGAAGCAGGCAGCACTATTTAAATGTAAACAAACTTGTTTGTCGTAGCTATTGGCTAAGGGGACTTGTGGGCTCTAAAGTTTTACATTGTTTTGTTTTTGAGTGCAGTTATGTTTAAAAAAAAAAATTCTACATTTGTACATTGCTCTTTCACAATAGAGATTGCACTACAGGTGAATTGAATTCTATTTCTTTTGTTTTTTACAGTGCAAATATTTGTAATAAAAAATAATATAAAGTGAGCACTGTACACTTTGTATTCTATATTGTAATTCAAATCAATATATTTGAAAATATAGAAAAATATCCAAACATATTTATAAAAAATTTAAATTGTTATTCTCTTGTTTAACAGTGTGATCAAAACTGCGATTAATCATGACTATTTTTTTAATCTCACCATTAATTACGATTATTTTTTTTAATAATTTGACAGCCCTAAATATAAATCAAAGGAAATAATTTGATCTGCTTATAGCATCATGCACAAAGAAGTATGTGTCATCAAACGTACAATATATTTACCCAGGTGCAGCATTTACGTGATAAGGAGCAGCGTCTAAACCAGGAACTGGAGAGGTTGCGCAATCACCTCTTAGAAATGGAGGACTCCTATACACAGGAAGCTTTAGCTGCAGAGGACCGAGAGACCAAGCTAAGAAAGAAGGTCATGGTTTTGGAGGAAAAACTAGTATCCTCTTCTACTGCAGTGGAAAATGCCAGGTAATATTTGCCTCCATCCAGCATTAGCATTTCTTTGAATAGTTGCAGTATTCTAGAGTGATGGTGATGTGATTTTATTAGCTTTAAAGAGCGTAGATGTGTAAGCACTGAGTAAAATGAAGGCATGGAATATCGATATTCTTCTTTGAGTGCTTGTTCATGTCCGTTCCAATCAGGTGTGTGCGCGCCGCGTGCACAACAGCCAGAAGATTTTTCCCCTACTAGCATCCGTAGGGTTGGTCTGGGCGCCTCCTGGAGTCGTGCCCTCATGGCGCCCAATATAGGGCCCTGCTGACCCGCCACCCCCTGATTTCCTTCTTACCACCAGCGATGGCTAGCTGGAACTTCCCTCGCTCTTGCTTCTGTAAGCGCCTTTAACAGTGTCCCATTGTATTTTGTATATAGTTAATAGTTTTTTGTCTTAAGTTAATAGCCAACTAATGCTATTCCCACATTTCTCCTCCGCCGCCGGGGCATGCCTTGGTCGCTGGGGTTCAAACCATGTGGTGAAGTCTGCGGAAGATTGATGCGAAAAAGTGACCCACACACTTCTTGTTTGAAGTGCCTTGGCGAGAGTCACCAAAAGGACAAGTGCCTCATTTGTAAAGGGTTTGGGCTGAGGACCCTTAAGGATCGCGAGCAGAGACTCAGACTTATCCTCATGGAGGCAGCCCTCCACCTGGAATCCAACCCTGGGTTGGTGGAGCCCATGCCAAGCGCCGCCACCATGTGCAGCGCAACAGCGCCGATGGTGCATGAGTTGGCTCCTAGAAAGGAGACTATCAGGGTTGGAAGGGACCTCAGGAGGTCATCTAGTCCAACCCCCTGCTCAAAGCAGGACCAATTCCCAACTAAATCATCCCAGCCAGGGCTTTGTCAAGCCTGACCTTAAAAACCTCTAAGGAAGGAGATTCCACCACCTCCCTAGGTAACCCATTCCAGTGCTTCATCACCCTCCTAGTGAAAAAGTTTTTCCTAATATCCAACCTAAACCTTCCCCACTGCAACTTGAGACCATTACTCCTTGTTTTGTCATCTGCTACCACTGAGAACAGTCTAGATCCATCCTCTTTGGCACCCCCTTTCAGGTAGTTGAAAGCAGCTATCAAATCCCCCCTCATTCTTCTCTTCTGCAGACTAAACAATCCCAGTTCCCTCAGCCTCTCCTCATAAGTCATGTGCTCCAGCCTACTAATCATTTTTGTTGCCCTCCGCTGGACTCTTTCCAACTTTCCACATCCTTCTTGTAGTGTGGGGCCCAAAACTAGACACAGTACTCCAGATGAGGCCTCACCAATGTCGAATAGAGGGGAACAATCACATCCCTCGATCTGCTGCAATGCTCCTACTTATACAGCCCAAAATGCCGTTAGCCTTCTTGGCAACAAGGGCACACTGTTGGCTCATATCCAGCTTCTCATCCACGGTAACCTCTAGGTTCTTTTCTGCAGAACTGCTGCCTAGCCATTCGGTCCCTAGTCTGTAGCGGTGCATGGGATTCTTCCGTCCTAAGTGCAGGACTCTGCACTTGTCCTTGTTGAACCTCATCAGGTTTCTTTTGGCCCAATCCTCTAATTTGTCTAGGTCCCTCTGTATCCTATCCCTACCCTCCAGCATATCTACCACTCTTCCCAGTTTAGTGTCATCTGCAAACTTGCTGAGAGGGCAGTCCACACCATCCTCCAGATCATTAATTAAGATATTGAACAAAACCGGCCCCAGGACCGACCCTTGGGGCACTCCGCTTGATACCGGCTGCCATCTAGACATGGAACCATTGATCACTACCCGTTGAGCCCGACGATCTAGCCAGCTTTCTATCCACCTTATAGTCCATTCATCCAGCCCATACTTCTTTAACTTGCCAGCAAGAATACTGTGGGAGACCGTATCAAAAGCTTTGCTAAAGTCAAGGAATAACACATCCACTGCTTTCCCCTCATCCACAGACCCACAGTGGTACCCACAGATTCCTGGCACCAACACGTCGCCGAACATAAGACTTCTGGTAGGCACCGATCTGTGTCCCCGGTGTCCCAGAAGAAAAAGGCAGGAGAGTGGTCGCTGTCCCCCTCCTAAGCCTAAGGAGACACCAGCAGGGAGACCTCAGTCCACCCAGCCTACTTCGGGCCTGTCAGCTCCCAGGGGCTGATCGACTCCTGCCCTGCAAGGGGTCCAGTTGAGTCCGGCCCACTCCCATTCTCTGGACCGTCATAGCTGGGACATTCAACTCTCCTCCACTCCAGAGACTTTTGAGGTGATGCAGGACCTTATTCACCTGATGGGTCTGCCTCCTCCAAGGAGGGACGAGGCACCGGCGATAGCCAGTCCGCCTGTTCCATCTAGGGGAAAGTCAGCAATGATGTCATGCCACTCCCCATCTCCGGCATGCCACTTCCTGGTGCCAGCCGCCCAAGGGGGTGAACCGCATCCGTCCCCAGAGGGTCGGCACCGCTCTTCAGCATCCACCACCACCAAATGTCTCTTCACATTTGAGTTCTTTCAGAACTCTTGGGTGAATGCCATCTGGTCCCGGTGACTTGTTAATGTTAAGTTTATCAATTAATTCCAAAACCTCCTCTAGTGACACTTCAATCTGTGACAGTTCCTCAGATTTGTCACCTACAAAAGCCGGCTCAGGTTTGGGAATCTCCCTAACATCCTCAGCCGTGAAGACTGAAGCAAAGAATCCATTTAGTTTCTCCGCAATGACTTTATTGTCTTTAAGCACTCCTTTTGTATCTTGATCATGAAGGGGCCCCACTGGTTGTTTAGCAGGCTTCTTGCTTCTGATATACTTAAAAAACATTTTGTTATTACCTTTGGAGTTTTTGGCTAGCCATTCTTCAAACTCCTCTTTGGCTTTTCTTATTACATTCTTGCACTTAATCTGGCAGCGTTTATGCTCCTTTCTATTTGCCTCACTAGGATTTGACTTCCACTTTTTAAAGGAAGTCTTTTTATCTCTCACTGCTTCTTTTACATGGTTGTTAAGCCACGGTGGCTCTTTTTTAGTTCTTTTACTGTGTTTCTTAATTTGGGGTATACATTAAAGTTGGGCCTCTATTATGGTGTCTTTAAAAAGCACCCACGCAGCTTGCAGGGATTTCACTTTAGTCACTGTACTTTTTAACTTCTGTTTAACTAACCCCCTCATTTTTGCATAGTTCCCCCTTTTGAAATTAAATGCCACAGTGTTGGGCTGTTGAGATGTTCTTCCCATCACAGGGATGTTGAATGCTATTGTATTATGGTTACTATTTCCAAGCGGTCCTGTTATAGTTACCTCTTGGACCAGCTCCTGCACTCCACTCAGGACTAAATCTACAGTTGCCTCTCCCCTTGTGGGTTCCCGTACCAGTTGCTCCATGAAGCAGTCATTTAAAGTATCGAGAAATTTTATCTCTGCATTTTGTCCTGAAGTGAAATGTTCCCAGTCAATATGGGGATAATTGAAATCCCCCACTATTATTGGGTTCTTAATTTTGATAGCCTCTCTAATTTCCCTTAGCATTTCATCATCACTATCACCGTCCTGGTCAGGTGGTCTATAATAGATCCCTAATGTTATATTCTTATTAGAGCATGAAATTTCTATCCATAGAGATTCTATGGAACATGTGGATTCACTTAAGATTTTTACTTCATTTGATTCTACATTTTCTTTCACATATATTGCCACTCCACCCCCCCCCCCCCGCACGACCTGTTCTGTCCTTCCGATATATTTTGTACCCCGGAATAATTGTGTCCCATTGATTGCTCTCAGTCCACCAGGTTTCTGTGATGCCTATTATATCAATATCCTCCTTTATCACGAGGCACTCTAGTTCACCCATCTTATTATTTAGACTTCTAGCATTTGTGTACAAGCACTTTAAAAACTTGTCACTGTTTATTTGTCTGCCCTTTTCTGATGTGTCCAATTCTTTATGTGAATGTTTATCATCTGATCTGGCCCTTACATTATCCTCCTCCATCCTCTGCTCCTGACTATAAACTGGAGATTCTCTATCATTAGACTCTCCCCTAAGAGAAGTCTCTGTCCGATCCACATGCTCCTCTGCAGCAGTTGGCTTTCCCCCATCTCCTAGTTTAAAAACTGCTCTACAACCTTTTTAATGTTTAGTGCCAGCAGTCTGGTTCCACTTTGGTTTAGGTGGAGCCCATCTCTCCTGTATAGGCTCTCCCCATCCCAAAAGTTTCCCCAGTTCCTAATGAATGTAAATCCCTCCTCTCTACACCATCGTCTCATCCACGCATTGAGACTCTGAAGCTCTGCCTGCCTACCTGGCCCTGCGCGTGGAACTGGGAACATTTCTGAGAATGCCACCATAGAGGTCCTGGATTTCAGTCTCTTCCGTAGCAACCTAAATTTGGCCTCCAGGACATCTCTCCTACCCTTCCCTATGTCATTGGTACCTACATGTACCACGACCACCGGCTCCTCCCCAGCACTACACATAAGTCTGTCTAGATGCCTCGAGAGATCCGCAACCTTCGCACCAGGCAGGCAAGTCACCATGCGGTTCTCCCGGCCATCACAAACCCAGCTATCTACTTTTCTAATGATCGAATCTCCCATTACTAACACCTGCCTTTTCCTAGCAACTGCAGTTCCCTCCCCCGATGCAACAGGAAGTGTCAGCAGTTTTCTACCCTAAGCCGCACTTGAGCGGCAGGGAGCAAAGGCTTCACTCACTGGATGTCTGCAGAGCACTAGCCTTCTACATTCAGAGAACGAAAGTCCGTCCAGGTATTCATTGCAGTGGCAGACAGAATGAAAGGTCTTCCTGTCTCTTCTCAATGGATTTCGTCGTGGATCGTGTCCTGCATCTCTGAGTGCTACAGCCTGGCAGGGGTGCCTGCTCCTTCGATCACTGAGCACTCCACCAGGGCTCAGGCCTCTTCAACGGCATTCCTGGCGCAGGTTCCCACCCAGGAAATCTGCAGAGCAGTGACGTGGACCTCCATACACACTTTCACCACGCATGACACAATCACCCAGCATGCCAAGAGACGATGCGGCCTTTGGAAGAGCAGTGCTCCAATCAGTGGACGACTCCGACCCCACCTCTTGAACTTGGGCTTGTGAGTCACCTGATTGGAATTGACATGAAAAGCACTCGAAGAAGAGAGAACGGTTACTCACCTTCTTGTAACTGTTGTTCTTCAAGATGTGGTGTTCTTGTTCATGTCCATTGCATTACTCACCCTCCTACCCCTCTGTCGGAGTAGCCGGCAAGAAGGAACTGAGGGGATGGCGGATCGGCAGGACCCTATATTGGGCGCCATGAAGACAACAGGACTCCAGGGTGCTCCCAGGCCGATCCTACAGATGCTGCTATGGGGAAAATCTTCCAGCTGTCGTGCATGCAGCGCGCACACACCTGATTGGAATAGACATGAACAACACATCTCGAAGAACAACAGTTACAAGAAGGTGAGTAACCATTCTTTCTAAATTAAAATGATTCTCAAATTACTTAGTGCACCTTTGTAGTGAACCAAACGGGTGTGTCTTTTTATGTGTAGTAGTTGTAGAACAAGGTTTAAAGGTGACCTGGAATTGTTATGGCTTAAAATAAAAACAAAACAAAAAACCCCGCCATCAGTTTACAAGGTATGGAATGCACTGAATAGTGAGAGTAAAAGGCACTCAAGACTTAAATTAATTTTAAAGGTACTTTCTTTTCTAGATCCTGATGTGCAGATTTGCCTGTTTCTGCTCTGTATGTGGGTTTCAAATCCATTAAATAGCTGTACATTATATCCCATAATGTATAAATATTTTTTTAAGCTATAGAAACACTTATATCTGTAGGTTGGTTTTCCATAGGTATCTCTGGCAGGTGTGGCATCAGCAGGATGCATGAGAATCATCACGGGGAGCTGATGTGGTTAGGTCCTATGATGGTGTCTCTTGAATAGATATGTGGACAGAGTTGGCACCAGGGTTTGTAGCAGGGTTTGGTTCCTGGGTTGGTGTTTTTGTTGTGTGGTGTGTAGTTGCTGGTGAGTATTTCTTTCAGGTTGGGGGGCTGTCTGTAGACGAGGACTAGCCTGTCCCCAAGGTCTGTGAGAGTGAGGGATCGTCCTTCAGGATAGGTTGTAGATCCTTGATGATGCACTGGAGAGGTTTTAGTTGGGGGCTGTAGGTGATGGCTAGTGGCGTTCTGTTACTTTCTTTGTTGGGCCTGTCTTGTAGTAGGTGACATCTCGGTACTCTTCTGGCTCTCAATTTGTTTCTTCACTTCACCAGATGAGTATTTCAGTTTTAAGAACACTTGATAGAGATTCTGTAGGTGTTTGTCTGAGGGATCAGAGCAAATGCGGTTGTATCTTAGAGCTTGGCTGTAGACAATGGATCATGTGATGTGGTCTGGATGAAAGCTGGAGGCATGTAGATAAGTATAGCGGTCAGTAGGTTTCCGGTATAGAGTGGTGTTTGTGACCATCGCTTATTAGCACTGTAGTGTCTAGGAAGTGGACCTCTTGAGTGGACTGGTCCAGGCTGAGGTTGATGGTAGGGTGGAAATAGTTGAAATCTTGGTGGAATTCCTCAAGGGCCTCCTTCCCATGGGTTCAGATGATGAAGATGTCATCAGTGTAGTGCAAGTAGAGTAGGGGCGTAAGGGGACAAGAGCTGAGGAAGCATTGTTCTAAGTCAGCCATAAAAATGTTGGCATACTGAGGGGCCATGCGGGTACCCATAGCAGTCCCGCTGACTTGAAGGTATAAATTGTCCCCAAATCTGAAATAGTTGTGGGTGAGGACAAAGTCACAAAGTTCAGCCACCAGGTTTGCCGTGATAGTATCAGGGATACTATTCCTGATGGCTTGTAGTCCATCTTTGTGTGGAATGTTGGTGTAGAGGGCTTCTACATCCATAGTGGCAAGGATGGTGTTTTCTGGAAGATCACCAAAGGATTGTAGTTTCCTTGGGAAGTCAGTGGTGTCTCGAAGATAGCTGGGAGTGCTGATAGCCTAGGGCCTAAGGAGAGAGTCTACATAGCCAGATAATCCTGCTGTCAGGGTGCCAATGCCTGAGATGATGGGGTGTCCAGTATTCCCAGGTTTATGGATTTTGGGTAGCAGCTAGAATACCCCTGGTTGGGGCTCTAGGGGTGTGTCAGTGTAGATTTGTTCCTGTGCTTCTTTAGGGAGTTTCTTGAGCCACACCATCTAGGACTCGTTCACCTGCACATCTACCAATGTGATATATGCCATCATGTGCCAGCAATGCTCCTCTGCCATGTACATTGGCCAAATCGGACAGTCTCTACGCAAAAGAATAAATGGACATCAGGAATCATAACAATCAAAAATCAGTAGGAGAACACTTCAGTCTCTCTTGTCACTCAATAACAGACCTAAAAGTGGCAATTCTTCAACAGAAAACCTTCAAAAACAGACTCCAACGTGAAGCTGCAGAACTGGAATTAATTTGCAAAATGGATACCATCAGATTAGGCCTGAATAAAGACTGGGAGTAGTTGGGTCATTACAAAACCTAAACTTAATTTCCCCAATACTAATTTCTCCCTACTGTTACTCACACCTTCTTGTCAACTGTCTGTAATGGGCCACTCTCTTACCACTTCAAAAGTTATTTTTCTGCTGTTAATTGATTTTATCTCGTTAGACTGACCTCACACTTGGTAAAGCAACCCCCATCCTTCCATGTACTTATACCTGCTCCTGTATTTTTTTCACTTCATGCTTCTGATGAAATGGGCTCTAGCCCACAAAAGCTTATGCCCAAAGAAATTTATTAGTCTCTAAGGTGCCACAAGGACTCCTCGTTGTTTTTATTTTGTTAGAGTTATGAACAACCTGGTGTTCCCGAGGTGTTTGTAACTCTGAGGTTCTAGTGTATTCAACAAGCAGTTTACACACTATACTACACTACATTCCCGTTTAGCCGAATGACCTGGGGGACATTCCCAACTTTTGGATAAATGGAAGTGCTATTAATTAACATGGGGAATGCACTCTGGATTCAGATAACTATCGGCTTATCAGATAGAGGGAATTCAGAGAACTGGAATTATATGGGTGTGTATGTATGTATGTATGTATATAAAAAAATATTTTCTTTTGATGAAGCCATCAAGCTAGTCTGCAGGTGGAATCCTTGCAAGAGCAGCTGAACCTAGTGTCCAGGCAGAGAGATGAAACTTTGCTACAGCTTACCATGTCACAGGATCAGGTGAAACAGTATGCACTGTCACTGGCCAACCTGCAGATGGTACTAGAGCAATTCCAGCAGGGTAAGTTGCATCAAAAATCTTAAAGAAAAGATTGCAATGAAAATTTTCAGTCAGTATAATAGTTGTGATTTGGTGCATTGTTTTTAATTTTGGCAATCACCAATTGCATTCAAGTAGATTTTAATTTCAAAATCTCAATTTTACCTTTAATACACTTAGGGTGAAATTCTGGCCACCTTGAAGTCAATGGTGAAAATTCCATTGACTTCAGTGGGTCCAGAATTTCACTGTTAGCGGTGCTGTATTGGGATTTCCATACCTAAGGTTGTACTGCTATACATCACAAAACCTAGAGGATTAGAAAGTGTGAACTAATTGTGTGATTTTTTTTTTTCCCCCCTTTTAGAGGAGAAAGCCATGTATTCAGCAGAACTAGAAAAACACCAAAAACAGACTGCAGAATGGAAAAAAAAAGCTGAAAAGCTAGAAGGGAGGGTTGAGTCTTTACAGGTGGGCTGAGAAGATTTTTAAATTACTGTATTAAATAATCCCGATTGTTGGGTTTTAAATACGTTATTACACAAGAATATATTAGATAACACTGTTTATAAGTCATTAGTAAAATTTTTGACTGGTGGAAGGGAGGAGAAAAGGAGGGCAAGCTAGCCAATAAGATGAAATTGTGCTGATTATCCATTTTCCTCGGATGTTTACAGTCCAAGTATTTAAAATAACAGTGATTAAATTCTTTGAGTCTGAAATACTTTATTTTTGTCATCACAATAGATTATTGTGATAGTGACTTTCCTCTCCTTACAGGAAAGTTTAGAGGAAGCAAATGCTGCCTTGGATGCAGCATCAAGGCTGACTGAGCAGTTGGATCTCAAAGAGGAGCAAATTGAGGACCTTAGGAAACAAGGTAAACAAGTTGGTTTTTTTTCTAAAAGTGTTCAAGAAATTGAGGAGATGATGTGGTACTCTGGAAAAGTTAGCAAAGGTGTGAACTAGTAACTTCTTTGAGTGTTGGTCTCTATGTGTATTTCACTCTGGGATACAAACATTCTCCATGCATCTGGGACTGGAAGAATCTTGTCCATTGGTCCATACCTGCTCCCTTGCTCTCCTTGTGATTCAAATCACAGGCATAAGGGGCAGTGCAGACCAACCATCTTTCCATTTCCTCCTTACTGCCATATGATCTGTGATGGACCCTCCAGTGTCAAGAGCTGATCCTTCTCTTCATTCTGTAAATATTCAAAATAACATAAAGTTTTGTGGGGTTTTATAGACTTTCTGCTGGCTAGTATTAGTTTTATTAGTATAGTTAGCTGTTAGTTAGAATCCCATCCCAACCCCTCCAGTACGCTCCTAAATCCCATACTGGGAAGGCTGGATTATGCCCAGGATACCAGGCTTCAAAAACTGTGTTTCCTGTCCTTGCTCCTTTTCAGTCAGTGACAACCAGCTAACGATGCCTTTATTGCCTCAAGGAAACATATCTCCACTAAGTTCAGTATCTGCCACTCAGATAGTCCCAGACTAGGGGGACTCCTCGTACATCAGCCTTTTTAATGAAAAGATGGATGATTCCTTGCACTTGTTAAAAGAACCCCAAGGCAGCCCTCAGCTCCCAGTATGCACACCAATCCGGTAAAGATGATTTCATAAGCAGCCATGCAAACATATGCGCTTTCCACACCCTTTTATTATTAGTGTTTGTATGAGCTACCTTGCAAACAGCAAAAGGTGCAATGATCTATATTCGCTGCTCCTTCTACATCAGCTGCATCTACTCAATCTCGCCCCCTGCTCAAAAAATATTTTTGACAGGACACTCAGGAGCTGTGAACTGATGTTGATGCCATATCCACCCGATTCTAAGGTTCACTTTGGTGGTCACCTAGCCCAGTTTTCCCACAATTGGAAAATAACAAACAGATGGGTGCTGGATATTATTAAATTTATCTCTCCATCCCATTCAAAACCCTGTTTCCTATCCCTCTTCAGGGATCACTATCACAAGGGGAATCTCCTGCGGGAGATAGTCTTTCTCCTATGACAGGAAACAATCGAGAGGATGCCACCTCAGCATCAGAGAAAAGGATTCTATTTGAAATATTTTGTGGTCCCCAAGAAGAAGAATCTGGCAAATGGCATCACTTCATAGAATCATAGAATATCAGGGCTGGAAGGGACCTCAGGAGGTCATCTAGTCCAACCCCCTGCTCAAAGCAGGACCAATCCCCAACTAAATCATCCCAGCCAGGGCTTTGTCAAACCTGACCTTAAAAACCTCTAAGGAAGGAGATTCCACCACCTCCTTAGGTAACCCATTCCAGTGCTTCACCACCCTCCTGAGGTCCCTTCCAACCCTGATATTCTATGATTCTATGAAGTGATGTCGTTTGCCAGATTCCATTTCCGTTGCCTACAATCTTGACTCTGAACAGTATATATACCCTCAAGGTGAAGGCTTCGCTGACATGGTGGAAAGACCCTCCATGTGTATGCATAAAGAAACACAAAACGATAATTACAGATACTCCCTTTCATATAAATGATCACAGAGCACAAGGCACTTGAACACCTTGGGAAACTAGAATGCACATAAATCTCCTGGAACTAAGAGCAGTCTGAAGCTTGCATGGCATTCTTACCACTCATATAATCCTGATATAGCCTGATAATGTCAGACAAAATTATGACAATGTTCTACATAAACAAGCAGAGGGGGCAAAATCCACCCACCATACATAGTAGCGGTCAACTTATGGAACTGGTTATTGGGAACCACATTATGCTGTCATTGCATCTACTTGGTGCCCACAATTCACTGGCAGACAGCCTCACCAGACATTTTGCCACTGATCATGAATGGGGACTACATGACTCAATGGTGAACAACATCTTCACTTAGAGGGGATCCCCTTCTTGAGATGTTTGCATCCCAGGTGAGAAGGAAGAGTGACACATTGTGTTCCAAGAGACTTCAGGGACGCAGCTCTGAAGGAAATGCTCTCCTGTTGTCCTGGACAGGCCACCTGAGGTATGCCTTTCCTCCCATTCTGCTATTACCTCAGGTTCTGTGACAGAGCGCTAGTCATTCTCATTGCTCTCAAATGGCCCAGGCAATTGAAAGCTATTCATTCTTTAACTCACCTGGTGACATCAAAGGTCTGATTAGAACCCTCCCACCAGTGATGAAACCAATCCCACAATGGGAACTCGTCTTCGTATTCTCAACATTGACTAGGCCAGGGGTAATCAATTATTTTTAGTCAAGGTCCAAATTTATTGGTCAAGGTTATAGTCAAGGTCCAGATTCCTGAGAAAATAATACAAAAAGAATAACAATAATGATAAGTAAATAAAAAGATTTTGTGTTCCATTCAAAAGTATCTAGCGGTCTGGATTTGGCCCATGGTCTACTTATTGACTACCCCTGGACTAGGCCATTTGAGCTGTTAGCCATGTCCCACTTGTCCATAAAAGTTGCCTTCCTGGTTGCCTATCACCTCTTCCAGAAGAGTAGGTGAACTCAGGGCCCTGATGGCTGATCCACCATATGCAGTAGTTCACAAAGACAGTCTCGTTATGGCTGCACATAAAATTCACCCCTAAAGTAGTTTCAGACTTCTGCATAAATCAGGTGATACACTTACCTGTGGGTTTTTTCTGAAGCCTCATATCACCAATGAAGAGAGCAGACTTCATTCCCTCGATGTGAGACGTGCATTAGCATTTTACCTGCAAAGAATAAAAATGATCAGAATGCCATCTAGATTATTTGTTTCTATAGCAGAATGAACGAGAGGGCAAGCTTTATTCTCTCAAAGAATCCCTAAGTGCATCTTGAGTTGTATCTCCCTTCCTACAAAAGCAGCCTCAGTAGTAATTTCATGAGGTGTCCTTACTTACATTTGCAAAGCAGCAATGTGGAGCTCTAGCCATACTTTCATGATGTACCACACCCTCTTCAAGCCTCCACAGGTGATTAATCCTTTGGGGTGGCAATCCTACAATCCTAAACTGCTTGCAGCTTTGCACCCTCTTCCTACCTCGGTATTGCTTTTGAATCATACACAGCGGAATACAAACAGGGATGAGCACTCGAAGAAGAAAAGGAAGTTATCTTATTGTCACTGGAGTTCTTTGAGATCTGTGGTCCCTGTCTATGTTGCACAACCCGCCTTTCTTCCCCTCTGCTTCAGATCTTTAAACAATTTGCAGTAGAGAGGGAACCAGAGGTGGTTGGTCTGCACCATCCTTTATGGGGTTGACAAAATTCATTGCACCGCGACCCACCTCTGATAACAAAAATTACTACATGACCCCAGGAGGAGGCCAAAGCTTGAGCCCCACCGCCCTGGGCAGGGGGGTGGCAAAGCCAAAGCCCTACTGCTCCACGCAAAAGGGCCAAAGTCCAAGGGCTTCAGCCCCAGGCGAGGGGCCTGTAACCTGAGACCCACCACCCAGGGCTGAATCCCTCGAGCTTCGGCTCTGGGCAGCAGGGCTCGGGCTTTGGCTTCAGCCCCAGACCCCAGCAAGTCGAACACCAGCTTTGGTGACCCCATTAAAACAGGGTCGCGACCCACTTTGGGGTCCTGACCCACAGTTTGAGAACCACTGCCTTATATCGTTGTTACAAAGCACAAGGAGAGCAAAGACGTAGGCATAGACCAATGAACACTGCTTGCAAATTCTTTCAGTCCCAGGTGTGTAGCGTGTATGCATATCCCACAGTAGAATACAGGTAGCAGCCATGCATATTGAGTTACAATAAGGTAACTTCCCTTTTTTCCTCTTGTGAAGTAAAAGAACAGATTTGTGCCATCCTTGAAGATCTTTAATTTTTTCTTATAAACTGATGATTTGAAGGAAGTTTTTAGTTCTTTTATTCGTGATCTCCTATCAGGAGAAGCCGTTTGTATTCAGACTTCTTTCTAAGATACCTGTGCCCTTGAGTGAGTTTTGTCACCTTCTTTAAAAGCATGTTTCTAAGGTGCTCAGATATGATAGTGATGAGTGCCATAAAAATATCTTCACTATAAATAGTTTCCATAATAAAATATGGGTATGCAAATAGAACTTGACTTATTTCCTCTCTCCTGGAGCTTCAGCTTTTTCTTGAACGTTCACTGTTTTTCTGTTGTGTTTATAATCCCGGGTCTGTGTTTTTATCCTGTTTAAAAAATACTGTGTCTTTGATATAAATTGTATTTGGAAGTTTTGATCTGAATTAAATAGTTACAAAGTTAATAATAGCAGAAGAAAAACGAAAGGTAAATATAGAGACAAGAGAGAAAGATGTGCTCAGTTGAGATTTGAAATGAGATGAAGAGGCAGTGAGGCAGAGAAGTAGAAGATGTTCCAGGTAGCAGAAGTTGCACCAGCAGGGGAGAGATTGGATGGAGGGGCATTCAGAAAGGTAGTGATGGATATTAGAGTAGAAAAAGGATATGATGTGTTTATGGTTTGACATCTGTGTGGCAATAGGCAAAAAGCAATTTATATTCATACTTTCTGCTTGGTTTTTTTAATCTTCATAATAAAGCGTCAGATCACCTCACATACACCTATCTCCCACTGACATCAATGGGAGTTATGTGCCTATATCAGAGACTATATTTTCGGATCGGATTTCACCTGTTTTGGAATGCAAGATTCTTGATTGCCCTATTATTTAGAAAGATGTCTTGGACATATTCTTAGATTAAGTACTCTAAATGTTGATAAATGTTGTTATACTGTACTTTATTTTTAAGACAAAACTTGGCCAGACAGTGAAGGAGTTTGCCAGGAGAAACAATTTTGAAAAAGATAAATGGCTTTTGCTTTATGACTGCACTTAGACATGAATCGTATAAAGAAGAGTTGTGTGGCTTTTTCTTTCATAAACAAGCTGGAGATTAATGATTC